TGGCTTCCAGTTCGGTTCAGAATTGATTTTAAAATCCTTTTATTTGTTTTCAAAGCCCTAAATGGGCTGGCTCCGGCCTATATAGCTGAACTCCTCCAGCGCTACACCCCAGCCAGAGCTTTAAGGTCTGCTGACCAGCTGCTGCTGGTAGTGCCCAAGACCAGGCTCAAAACCCGAGGGCACCGAGCCTTCTCAGCAGCTGGCCCGAGGCTCTGGAACACTCTGCCCCTCCATGTGAGGTCGGCCCAGACCCTAGGGGTTTTTAAATCTACACTAAAAACACACTTCTTCTCCCTGGCCTTCTAGTCAGAGCGGAGCACGACTACTGACTTTCCCTTGTGTTTTATTTAATATATATCTGTTGTAATTTATTGTCTTTTATTGTGATTGTAGTAATGTGTATTTATTACATGTACAGCACTTTGGCTCAACCAAAAATCACTTTTAAATGTGCTTTATAAATAAAACCTGATTTGATTTGATTTGTGTCTCTCTCTCTCTCTCTCTCTCTCTCTCTCTCTCTCTCTCTCTCTCTCTCTCTCTCTCTCTCTCTCTCTCTCTCTCTCTCTCTCTCTCTCTAGGCTTCTTCTCCCTGAACCACTCTGACTGCTGGTCCTCTTTTTTTCATCCTTGCTTCGATGGTCTGAACGGAGAGCTGGCTCACGCCTTCCTGCCCCCCCGCGGAGAGATCCACTTCGACAACCAGGAGTTCTGGATCCTGGGCAAGTCCCGGTTCAGCTGGAGGCAAGGTACTGATACAGGTGTGTCTCCTGCCCCTCAGGTGTGTCTTCTATGTCAGGAAGGAGGAGAAGGAGGAGAAGGAGGAGAAGGAGGAGAAGGAGTTCAAAGTGTAAGAAAAATACAGATTTATTTTTAAAAAGCTGTTGACGATGAACAAACAAGAAAAACCCTAAAATCCATAAACCGGCAGAACGAGGCAGAACGAGGTAGAACGAGGTAGAACGAGGTAGAACGAGGCAGAACGAGGTAGAACGAGGCAGAACGAGGTAGAACGAGGTAGAACGAGGTAGAACGAGGTAGAACGAGGCAGAACGAGGTAGAACGAGGTAGAACGAGGTAGAACGAGGTAGAACGAGGTAGCATCCAGACAAAAAACCCACAGGGACAAACAAGGAGGTGCAAGGAAGACAACCTAACATGGAGCAAAGGGGAAGACGAGACAAAAGAGGCCAGAAGGGTGGGTGGAGGGGGTCTGGAGGGGTTTGGGCTGACGGCCCGGGGGCAAGGCAGAGGCAGAGGAGGGGCGAAGACTGCGGCGAGCAAAGTGAGGGGGCCGGGCATGAGGGCGGCGATGGGACCCCTCCGGAGTCAGCTGGATCGCCGGAGCAGGAGCACTGGGATCGGGAGACGGCGGGGCCCTGGACGGGACAGGAACCGCTGTCGGCGAGACAGGTGTTCCCGACGGAACAAGGGCTGGTGTCGGCGGGACCCCCGACGGAACAGGAAATGGAGTTGGCAGGACCCCCGACGCAACAGGACATGAAGTTGAGTCGACCCTCAACGGAATAGGAAATGGAGTTGGCAGGACCCCCAACGGAACAGGACATGGAGTTGGCAGGACCCCCAACGGAACAGGACATGGAGTTGGCAGGACCCCCAACGGAACAGGACATGGAGTTGGCAGGACCCCCGACGCAACAGGAAATGGAGTTCGCAGGACCCCCGACAGAACAGGACATGGAGTTGGCAGGAGCCGAAACTGGGGCCCAAAGCATGGCTTCTGGGGCTCGGGCTGGTTCCGTGGACCCTCCGAAGGCCAGAAGCAGATGAAGGAGACAGGCCTGGAGGTCGGCAACCAGGAGTGCTGGCAGGCTGGTAGTTAGCATGCTTCCGGCTAGCAGACTGTGAATCGCATGTCTGAAGGAAGTCCTTAGTCCAGCCAGGTAAGAACTTCAACAACCCTGGTTTTTCTGTTGCCTCCTGGTGCGCCTCAGCCAGAGCGGCCCCTCAGCCAGAGCAGCCCCTCAGCCAGAGCGGCCCCTCAGCCAGAGCGGCCCCTCAGCCAGAGCAGCCCCTCAGCCAGAGCGGCCCCTCAGCCAGAGCAGCCCCTCAGCCAGAGCAGCCCCTCAGCCAGAGCGGCCCCTCAGTTGTGTCTTCTGTCTCTCAGGTGTGTCCTCTGTCTCTCAGGTGTGACCTCAGGTGTGTCCTCTGTCTCTCAGGTGGGACCTCAGGTATGTCCTCTGTCCCTCAGGTGTGTCCTCTGTCTCTCAGGTGTGTCCTCTGTCCCCAGGTGTGTGGCTGAACGACCTGGTGCAGGTAGCAGCTCATGAGATTGGTCACGCTCTGGGGCTGTGGCACTCCAGAGACCCACAGGCTCTGATGCACCCGAACGCCACGTCCACCGGGCAGAGGAACGTGGCTCAGGACGACGTGTGGGGCATCCGGAGGCTCTACGGTGACTTCCTGCTGCCTTCACAATAAAAGCTCAGAGACACAGCGTGGGGTTACACATCTGAAGTGTGTATATAACACACTGATCTTCTCCCTGCAGGCTGTCTGGATAAGAAGAGGGTGTGTGAGCCGTGGGCTCGGCTGGGTTTCTGCGAGCGGCGGAAGACGTTCATGAAGAAGAACTGTCCTCAGCGCTGTGACCTGTGCTACGGTGAGATCCTGTTTACACAGGAAGTGACCGTCCTCACTTCCTGTCTGACCCATGGATGTAAAATAAGAGCTGGATACAGCGTTGGAGGCGGGGCTTGTTCATTCCTATGAGAGCTGCTCATTGGCTCATGAGGACAAAATGGCCTGAGATTTTCGAGAGCAAAACATTACAGATTACCCATCATGCCTTGCTGTCAGAGCAGAAGTACCCGTATGTAGCTCATAGTTGAGTTTCCCCTTAAGCCCTGCCTCCTGTCATTAAGCCCCGCCTCCTGTCATTAAGCCCCGCCTCCTGACATTAAGCCCCGCCCCCGATCTCCCACTCTCGGCTCAGTAGAATGAATGAGAGAGAAAATAAATCTGGATTCGGCTTTTAGTGCATTTTACAACTCTAAGGACCAAATGATTCTAATAAGGGCTATCACAGAGTGCATTCTGGGTAGTTTATTTCGTTTAAACAATGATCCTCTGATTTACAGACGTCTCTTTCCCAATGTTAGTCTATAGAGCGGTGCAGGGAGCTGCTGGTCCCACTGAAAGGGTTTTCTCCAGGATTTAGGAAAATTGTAAGAAATAATGTGGAAAACGAACCTGTTTGATAAACGTTTTGTTCAGCCGGATCATCTCCACATGTCTACTTTTATAATGTTCTAATCATAACTCTAATGGCCAGAAGCTAAATGCTAACGTGATGCTATAGAGCAGTGGTTCCCAAACGGTGTGCCGTGAGGCAAGTCCGGGTGTGCCGTGGGATTTTGTGACAACCATACGTTATTATTGCAATATACAACTACACAAAAATAATTATTTTTTAATGTACTATATCAGTACTTTGTATGCACTCGTTTCATAATACAGAGGCAAACTCTATACCTAAAAACTATTCTTTTAATAAAAATCCTCACAGAACCCCATATTTCGCAGGTAACGCAGTTGCAGGTGGGAATTATATGACCGTGACACACCGAAGGCTGAAGGACAACATTAAAACAGAGAAACACGCAAGAGGGAAAATGGAGCGCTTTCTTGTGCGGAGCAAACCACCAACCACCAGAGACTGCCGACAACCCACCACCCAAAGAAAAGAGGAAACAAACTGTCAGCAGACAGTATCATGACAGTTACCTGTCTTATGGCTTCAGTTGGACCGGGGATGGCAACAATCCTCAGCCCGAGTGCGTCGTCTGTCGGGAGAAGTTAGCTAATGCGAACATGGTTCCAAGCAAGCTGAAGAGGCACTTGGAAACCAAACATCCCTTCCATGTTCAGAGAAACTTGGCCTACTTCATAAGAGCACGGGATCTGAACCAGAGGCAGCAAGACCGTTTGTTGGATTGTGTGAAAGTGTCTGAAAAGGCAATGGAGGCTAGTTACATGCTAGCTCATTGCAAAGCAGAAGAAACCTCACACAATAGCGGAGACACTCATCCTCCCCGCTTGCAAACAAATTGTAGGTATCATGCTGGGTCCAGATGCCGCAAATGAGCTATCCAAAGTGCCGTCGTCTGATAATACAATCAAAAGAAGAATGGACGACATGTCAGAAGACATTGAGCAACAATTGACAGAGAAACTGCAGGCGAGCGGCAGGTTTTCCTACAAATAGACGAATCTACTGACATAAGTGGGGCTGCCCAACTTCTGGCAAACGTCAGATATGTTGATGCTGACTCTATCAAAGAGACGCTTTTCTTCTGCAAAGAAATGGAAAGCCATACTACGGGAGAAGAAATATTCAGGGTAACTCATAACTATTTAAAAGAGAACAGTCTGACCTGGAATATGTGCGTCAGTCTTTGCACAGATGGTGCAGCAAGCATGACGGGGAGAGTGAAAGGATGTATTGCTAAGGTGAGAGCACAAAACCCACATATCGTGACAAACCACTGCATTTTGCATCGAGAGGCATTAGTTGCCCCCCATGCCCCCGGAGTTGACTGAGGTGCTGAATCAGGTGCAGATGGTGAATTACATCAAATCAAGGCCCCTGAAATCTCGCCTCTTCTCCCAGCTGTGCGCCGAGATGGGAGCCGACCACCAAAGCCTGATCCTCCACACAGACGTACGTTGGCTGTCACGGGGGAAAGTCCTATCCCATCTTTATGAGCTTCGGGAAGAGCTTTTGGAGTTTTCACATGAACACGCTGTCCCACATAAAGACAAGCTCGCGGATGAGAGGTGGTGCGCCAGGCTGGCTTACCTCGCTGACATATTTGGGCATCTCAACGAGTTAAACGCCAAGCTTCAGGGCAGGAATGAAAACATTTTATCATCCACAGACAAGATTCGGGGGTTTATGGGCAAACTTATCCTGTGGCGCGAGGCTTTGGATCAGGGCTCCATGGACATGTTCCCGCTGGCATCAGCTGCGCCGCAGGCAGCTAGGGAGCGCGCTGTATATGCCAAACACCTTCAGACCTTAAAAGAGAGGTTTGACCGCTATTTTCCACGTGTGGCTGACATCGAGGACTATGACTGGATCCAAGACCCATTCCACCAGGAACTCTCATCAGAAAAGCTCACTATGAAAGAGAGAGAGGAGTGCAGAGCTCTGTGTGGACCGCACACTGAAACTCAAATGTAGTGAGCTCCCACTGGATCAGTTTTGGTTGGCTTCTGCATCGGAGTACCCAAGCATCTCCCACCACGCGATTGAGCAACTTCTTCTTTTTCCCACTACCTACCTGTGTGAGCTGGCGTTCTCTACTCTGGTTTACATGAAGAACAACAGGAGGTCACGGCTCTCTGTTGAACAGGACTTGCGAGTGGCCCTCTCCTCAGTGCCACCAAGGATTAACTAAATCTGCGCGCCCCGACAGGCACATGTATCTCACTCATTTGTAAGTCGGCAAAAATATTTACAATAGCACATGTTTCTATGCTGATTGCTGAAATGTTACATTTATAATGTGTAGTTCAGGCCCATGGACAGTGCAGCTTCCTTGCATTGACAGTTCTCTGCTGAGTCTCTGCTGAGTTTCCTTTGCCTCATTTTTAATTGTGTGACCCGTCTGGTTTAAATGAGTGTGTTGCTGCTTTGATGAAGCCTAATTTGTTAAAGTTTCAAATTAATTGAAATATTTCGTTAATAAATATTTCATGAGTAATATAGTTGTCTTTGTCACATTTTATTTGGCATTAGTAAATAATTATGCACATTTACAGATATTTTACATGATATGAGTGATAACACGTGTTATAAGGGCTATTTTGCACAATAGGTGTGCCTTGAGATCTTTACTTGTCCTTTGGTGTGCCTTGGGCACAACAAGTTTGGGAACCACTGGTATAGAGGAGCTACAGGCGAGTCCAGCAGCACGACTTCAACGTCACGCCAACTTCAGATCCATATTCAAACACACAGATTCTAAATGGAACGAGTTGAAGCGTTTGTTTGAACACTTAGCAGGAGGCAGGGACTTGCTTTCAAGCAGAACAGAAACTAACTTAGAGGAGTGTTCACGTGTTCGGCGTAATGACGTACAACGTCCTCCACTTCTGAGGTCCTATCCAGCCACTTGGTAACAACCATCGTGTGGTATCTCACCTTGTGTTATTATTACATGTTATTGCATTTGTCCAGCAGGGGGCAAAGTCACTCTTGGTATTAAAAGAGCCTGTTGGACATGTTCCCACCAGGAAGTCCCAGAAGCATGTTACCAAAGTAAAACCAGTTAAACCTACTCCTATGTTGTGGACATACAATTATTGATCACAAGATACAACATATTATTGGCGACGAGGATTAAGACAAGGATCAAGACGGGATCAAAGAGGACATGCCGAACGGACTGGTTAGCACCTTACATGCAGGTTTGGGTCGTTAGCGGCAGCTAGCTCAAATGATTAGCAAAGTCTGCGGGTGGAGGAGAGGATTCATTGACACACAATGATTGGCACCTTTTGATGCAAACAATCCGAAGTGTGAAGAATACTGTGAGGTATTGGAACAGTTTTTTGAAGCTAATGAAATTGAAAATGGAGACAGACAAAGAGCCATATTAATAAGTGTTGTGATCAACATACAGCCTTATGAAAAACCTCCTCAGTCCGGATAAGCCCAAGGATAAGACTTACACACAACTTGTGGAGCTGCTGAAAAATCCCTTTGACCCAAAGCCTAGTGAAATTGTGCAAAGGTACAAGTTTGACTCCCGCAACCGTGAGCCCAATGATTCAGTAAGGGAAGACGTGGCTGAGCTGCGTCGGTTAGCGCAGGATTGCAGCTATGCTAACACTTTGCAGCAGAGGTTGAGAGACAGGATCGTCTGTGGAATAAATGAAGATCGGATTCAGAGACGACTCTTATCAGAAGCGGATTTAACATTTGAAAAAGCATTGTCAGTTGCTGTGGCGTCAGAGACTGCAAATAAAGATGCACAGGAGATACAAAGCCAAGGGGCCACAGCTAAAGGCTTCAACATGGATCAAAGCCACAGGAGGCTCATGCACACAGAGAACCAGAGAGTTACAGATGCAAGGGAACCCAGCATGAAGCAACAGACGTTTAAACAAGAGACATGGCATGCATGTGGTCAAATAGGACAGAGCCAACATAGCTCAGAAGAAGATGCATTCTTACTGAATAAGATGAGGTTCAGATCGGGACGCATGAGTGACGTGCACCTGAGACGAGTAGACCCACACATGGTTGAAGTGAAGCTGGATAGTAAGTTTGTTAACTTTGAGATAGACACTGGCTGTAGTCTCACAATAATGAATGAACAGACATTTCAAAGACTATGGAAAGACACAAAAAGTCCATGTTTGAGACCAACCAAAATCCACATGGAGTCTTATACAGGAGACCCTGTCCATGTGGTCGGAGCTCATTGTGGTTAAAGGGGACGGGCCCAAGAGGAGGAGGAAATACATCTGAGTTGGAAAGAAATCGAGCTCAGACACAAACCCCGAGTCCTGAAACCCCTGAAGACAGAGGACACATCGCTGCAGCAAGTCCTGAAACCCCTGAAGACAGAGGACACATCGCTGCAGCAAGTCCTGAAACCCCTGAAGACAGAGGACACATCGCTGCAGCAAGTCCTGAAACCCCTGAAGACAGAGGACACATCGCTGCAGCAAGTCCTGAGCAAACATGAACATGTCTTCAAATCTTCAAAAGAGGAGCTCGGCACACTGAAAGGTGTGAAAGCTACCATCCAGGTAAAGGCTGATGCAGTCCCTCGTTTCTTCCGTCCGAGGTCTGTCCCGTACGAGGTCTGTCCCGTACGAGGTCTGTCCCGTACGAGGTCTGTCCCGTACGAGGTCTGTCCCGTACGAGGTCTGTCCCGTACGAGGTCTGTCCCGTCCGAGGTCTGTCCCGTCCGAGGTCTGTCCCGTACGAGGTCTGTCCCGTCCGAGGTCTGTCCCGTACGAGGTCTGTCCCGTCCGAGGTCTGTCCCGTACGAGGTCTGTCCCGTCCGAGGTCTGTCCCGTCCGAGGTCTGTCCCGTACGAGGTCTGTCCCGTACGAGGTCTGTCCCGTACGAGGTCTGTCCCGTACGAGGTCTGTCCCGTCCGAGGTCTGTCCCGTCCGAGGTCTGTCCCGTACGAGGTCTGTCCCGTCCGAGGTCTGTCCCGTACGAGGTCTGTCCCGTACGAGGTCTGTCCCGTACGAGGTCTGTCCCGTACGAGGTCTGTCCCGTCCGAGGTCTGTCCCGTCCGAGGTCTGTCCCGTACTAGGTCTGTCCCGTCCGAGGTCTGTCCCGTACGAGGTCTGTCCCCGTACGAGGTCTGTCCCGTACGAGGTCTGTCCCGTACGAGGTCTGTCCCGTACGAGGTCTGTCCCGTCCGAGGTCTGTCCCGTCCGAGGTCTGTCCCGTCCGAGGTCTGTCCCGTACGAGGTCTGTCCCGTCCGAGGTCTGTCCCGTCCGAGGTCTGTCCCGTACGCCATGCGCACCAAAGTAGATGAAGAAATAGACAGATTGTTGAAAGAAGGAGTCATCTCACCTGAAGCCTGTTGGGACAGCAAGGCTATGTGGAGACTACAAGCTCACTGTAAGTACAGTTTCCTCACTTGAACAATACCCCATCCCCCGAATGGAAGACCTGTTGGCAGCTGACAGGAGGAAAACAGTTCACAGTGTTGGACATGAGTCATGCATACCAGCAAATACTCATGGGTGATGAATCAAAGAAATACTTCACAGTGAACACAGAGGCTTCACATACAGACTGCCTTTTGGAGTAGCATCAGCCCCAGCTGTATTTCAGAGGACAAAGGAAGGTCTCCTGTGAGGCAGTGTATTTAGATGACATCCTGGTGAGCGGTGTGGATGAGGAAGACCAGAGCGGTGTGGATGAGGAAGACCAGAGCGGTGTGGATGAGGAAGACCAGAGCGGTGTGGATGAGGAAGACCATCTGCAGAACCTCGAGACAGTGTTGGCAAAGCTGGAGGAGGCAGCGTCTGAGAAGGAGCAAGTGCTTCCTCCTGGAAGAGGAAGTGGAACATCTGGGACATGGAGTGGACTCACAGGGACTTCACCCTGTGGGAAAGCCATCATGGAGGCTCCCACCCCCACACATGTTACTGAACTCAAGTCGTACTCAGGTTTGCTAAATTACTATAACACATTTCTGCCAAACTTAGCTACACTATTGGCACCACTGCACGAGCTCCTGAGACAAGATGTGCGATGGACATGGCAAAAGAAACAGGGAGAGGCTTTTAAAAAGGCCCTGTTAAACTCAGCAGACGTGTTGGTGCATTCCTCTGCTGACCGAGAGTTCATGAAGTCATGTGATGCGTCACCTTACGGGGTGGGGCTGTTTTATCACACGTAATGGACGATGGAACTGAACGTCCTTTGGGGTTCATGTCGCGTACCCTAGCGCCTGCTGAAAAGAATTACTCACAGCTAGACAAAGAAGGCTTAGCAGTTATATTTGGAATCAAGAATGATCCAGTTTGTGACCCTCACAGGACTTAAAAAGCTCCTAACTAGATCATGAAAATCCCGGAAATCTCGGGGGAGTATACCCCCGAACCCCCCTCGCATGTTTGGACCTCGGTATTTAGGAAATCCTGGATACGGCCCTGGTTCTACTCGGCCGACATCGAGTCAAAGAGTATATGAGAGTGAGAGTGTGTTAATTCATATATTTGGCAGTTTGGAGTAAGTCTGTAGATGTGTGTGTGTGTGTGTGTGTGTGTGTGTGTGTGTGTGTGTGTGTGTGTGGTGTGTGTGTGTGTGTGTGTGTGTGTGTGTGTGTGTGTGTGTGTGTGTGTGTGTGTGTGTGTGTGTGTGTGTGTGTGTGTGTGTGTGTGTGTGTGTGTGTGTTTCATGTATAGGCCTCTCACGATAATTAATTTTGTTGGATACATTTTCCCGGAAATGATTGCGATAATCGATAATATTGTCGGCACCGTTGTATGACCATTTTAGACCACTGACATAATGATAATATATAATATAACTATAACTGCTAGTCCCATCCTCATGTCAATGGACATTTATCCAGTTCATTTTTATTTATCGAACGATAAGTCAATTAATTGCTTATCGCGACAGGCACTCAATAAAACAGTGGAAACAAACATGTTTGACTTTCATTAGTGAATGAAACTGTGTGCCCTTTATAGTCTGTGTCCAATATTGTGTATTTGTATATATTGTATATATATATGCTAAGGTCCCGCTGCTGACACGATAGCAGTCATTTAGTGCATGTGTGTGATTAAACCCATGATATCAAAGTCTCACTCCAGCCAGGTACCCAACGTTAGCAACCCTGGAGTGAGACCGCAGAACAAGTGCTCATGATTGATCTTCTGGATGACACACTCGTGGACTCAGCCAAAATAAAACACTGGACAGCTAAGGATGTAATATTGTCTCAAGTTCATGGTTATGTCCTGTCGGGATGGCCTCCAGTGACTCAGGCTCCTCTCAAGCCGTATCATCAGAGGAGAGAAGAACTGAGTGTGAGGGATGGCTGCGTGCTCTGGGGAGCCAGAATCATCGTACCAAACACATGTCAAAGATGAAAGGTCTGGCTGGATCTTATGTATGGTGGCCGGGGATGGACCAGGATGTAGAAAAGGAAGTGCAGTCTTGTGAGGAGTGCCAAAAGCACCACAAGTCACCACCATCAGCACCATTACATCCCTGGGAGTGGCCGGAGTCTCCCTGGACGAGAATTCATGTGGACTATGCAGGCCCCTTCCTGGGAGAGATGTTTCTACTGATAGTGGACGCTCACTCAAAATGGATGGATATGTATCCAGTGAAGTCAGCTCCATCACAGGTGACCATTGAAAAGCTGCGTCAGAGTTTCAGTGTTTTTGGACTGGACAACGGAACCTGTTTTACAAAGTGCTGAATTTGAGACTTTCATGAAACAAAATGTCAGCGCCACGTGAGGTCACTGCCATGTGAGGTCACCGCCATGTGAGGTCACCGCCATGTGAGGTCACCGCCATGTGAGGTCACTGCCATGTGAGGTCACCGCCATGTGAGGTCACCGCCATGTGAGGTCAGCACCGTTTCACCCGTCTTCCAATGGGCTGGCAGAGAGGGCGGGCCAGACCTTCAAAGGGGGGATGAAAAAGATGAAAGGTGAAACATTGCAAACTAGACTGTCAAGGTTTCTGTTCAGTTACCGCATCACACCTCACGCGACCACAGGCCTGCCGCCTGCAGAGTTGATGAAGGAGACTCAGATCTGCATTAGACCAGATGTGAAAACAAGAGTGCAGCAAAAACAACTAAAACAGAAACAGTCCCATGACACAAACAGGAAACTGAGAAGTTTCTCACCTGGGGATAAAGTGTTCATCAGAAACTACTCTTATGGACCTAAATGGATCGCTGCGGTCATCGAGAGCTCATCAGGTCCAGTGTCATATACAGTGATCATTGGAAGTGGTCAAGTCGTGAAGCGGCGTGTGGATCAATTAAGAGCCAGATTAACAGACACCGTGCCCTTAGAGCCAGTGCTGGACTCCAACAGAGACACCGTGCCCTTAGAGCCGGTGCTGGACTCCAACAGAGACACTGTGGTTCCAGTGACAATCGAGCAAGAAGGACCTCCTGCAAGTGAGCCCGTGGTTCTGTGTACTCCGGTCCCGCCGGACTTGCCTGCTACACCTGCGGTGAGACGATCAGAGCGCGAGAGACAGCCACCTGTATACCTGAAAGACTTTGTTAAATAGATCAAGAGATGTTCCATTAATAGCATAGTTCTCTGATCTCACTTTAAGGAAAGGTTTAGAAAGTTCATCTTTGAAAGTGAAATGGTTTATGCCAGTACCTCGAAATGTTGTGTAACGGGAGTATGTTCTACCCCCACCTTCGGGAAGTATTGTTAGCTTACAGGGGGAAATGTGGTATCTCACCTTGTGTTATTATTACATGTTATTGCATTTGTCCAGCAGGGGGCAAAGTCACTCTTGGTATTAAAAGAGCCTGTTGGACATGTTCCCACCAGGAAGTCCCAGAAGCATGTTACCAAAGTAAAACCAGTTAAATCTACTCCTATGTTGTGGACATACAATTATTGATCACAAGATACAACCATCGTTTTTCAGACACGTCAACTCTTCAGAAACCCCCAGTGGGGTCACTGCTGATGGATTTAATGTCGTAGAACAAAACGTGATCCGTCTCTTCAATGTGTCTCAACCACAGACCTTATTTACAGATAGTTTCCAAAAACGAGTTCATAGATCTCATTGGCTCTGAGACGAGGGAACAGGAAGTGGTGAAATGCTGACTCACTTCCTGGTTTTAGGACTCATTCCTGCACCACTCGATGGGAAAAAGTCTTTCTGGGCCCAGTGACGTCACAGACTGATACGGAAATTGTATTACTGCCGTTTGGCCACTAGGAATATTTTCCTCAGAGACCGGAGCACTTCCTGGGGGCTTGGTCTGACCCTCCTCACTTCCTGTCTGACCCTCCTCACTTCCTGTCTGTAGAGCCAGTGGAGGAAGTTTCCACGCCGGCGCCGCCCGCCAACGTGAAGATTAAAATGGTTCCCCGAGGGAAGGTGGTGGGTTTCCGCTGTGGAAACAAAAACCTCCGAACTCCACCCAAAGTCAGGTAGGTCGTCTCACAGACTTCTACAATCTGAGGTAATAAAGAGAGAAGTACTTTTTGTTTCTCAGAGTTGTCGTGTTTACTCAGTATTCAGTCGGTTCCTGAACGTCTCTTTCCTTCCTGTCTCAGCTGGTACAAAGACAACGAGCAGATCCTGTCATCTGTCCCCGGCTACATCGTGATGAAGGACCGAGACCTCCGCATTGTGGCTAACGAGTTTAACGAGGGCGTGTACACCTGCCGGATCCACCGGCGCGGCGAAGTGGTCTCAGCCAACTCCTGGTTAATCCGGCTGAAACCAGAGCAGCCGTCCAACAGCTGAGGACGTCCGGGGGACGGAGGACAAAACAATGAGACATCAGAAGAGCAGAAAATCACATTCTGTCCCAGAGGGGGGTCTGGACCTCTGCAGGTGTGCTCTGTGGGGACAGGACCTCATTCACCTGTAGAAAGACACGTGTGATGTCCTTATAAGCCCTGTGTCCTCTGAAGGTCCTGGTAGGACGTAATGTGTCTGCTGTCGTCTCCTCTCAGCAGTTTGTGACGGACCTTCACCGGTTGGACGTCGTGTCCTCGCTAACCCTCTCAGAGACATCATGTCCAAGACATCATCCTTTCTAACATCTCGTTGAGACATCGTGTCCTCCCTAACATCTCGTTGAGACGTCGTGTCCTCTCTAACCTCTCGTTGAGACGTCGTGTCCTCCCTAACATCTCGTTGAGACGTCGTGTCCTCTCTAACCTCTCGTTGAGACATTGTGTCCTCTCTAACCTCTCGTTGAGACGTCGTGCCTCCATAACATCTCGTTGAGACGTCGTGTCCTCTCTAACCTCTCGTTGAGACATTGTGTCCTCTCTAACCTCTCGTTGAGACGTCGTGTCCTCTCTAACCTCTCGTTGAGACATCGTGTCCTCTCTAACCTCTCGTTTGAGACATCGTGTCCTCTCTAACCTCGTTGAGACGTCGTGTCCTCCCTAATCTCTCGTTGAGACGTCGTGTCCTCTCTAACCTCCTCGTTGAGACGTCGTGTCCTCCCTAACCTCTCGTTGAGACGTCGTGTCCTCTCTAACATCTCGTTGAGACGTCGTGTCCTCTCTAACATCTCGTTGAGACATCGTGTCCTCTCTAACCTCTCGTTGAGACATCGTGTCCTCTCTAACATCTCGTTGAGACGTCGTGTCCTCTCTAACCTCTCGTTGAGACGTCGTGTCCTCTCTAACCTCTCGTTGAGACATCGTGTCCTCTCTAACATCTCGTTGAGACATCGTGTCCTCTCTAACCTCTCGTTGAGACATCGTGTCCTCTCTAACATCTCGTTTGAGACGTCGTGTCCTCTCTAACCTCTCGTTGAGACATCGTGTCCTCTCTAACCTCTCGTTGAGACGTCGTGTCCTCTCTAACCTCTCGTTGAGACATCGTGTCCTCTCTAACCTCTCGTTGAGACATCGTGTCCTCTCTAACATCTCGTTGAGACGTCGTGTCCTCTCTAACCTCTCGTTGAGACATCGTGTCCTCTCTAACATCTCGTTGAGACATCGTGTCCTCTCTAACCTCTCGTTGAGACATCGTGTCCTCTCTAACATCTCGTTGAGACGTCGTGTCCTCTCTAACCTCTCGTTGAGACGTCGTGTCCTCTCTAACATCTCGTTGAGACGTCGTGTCCTCTCTAACCTCTCGTTGAGACGTCGTGTCCTCTCTAACCTCTCGTTGAGACATCGTGTCCTCTCTAACATCTCGTTGAGACATCGTGTCCTCTCTAACCTCTCGTTGAGACGTCGTGTCCTCTCTAACATCTCGTTGAGACGTCGTGTCCTCTCTAACATCTCGTTGAGACATCGTGTCCTCTCTAACATCTCGTTGAGACATCGTGTCCTCTCTAACCTCTCGTTGAGACGTCGTGTCCTCTCTAACATCTCGTTGAGACGTCGTGTCCTCTCTAACATCTCGTTGAGACATCGTGTCCTCTCTAACATCTCGTTGAGACATCGTGTCCTCTCTAACATCTCGTTGAGACGTCGTGTCCTCTCTAACATCTCGTTGAGACATCGTGTCCTCTCTAACATCTCGTTGAGACATCGTGTCCTCTCTAACATCTCGTTGAGACGTCGTGTCCTCTCTAACATCTCGTTGAGACATCGTGTCCTCTCTAACATCTCGTTGAGACATCGTGTCCTCTCTAACCTCTCGTTGAGACATCGTGTCCTCTCTAACATCTCGTTGAGACATCGTGTCCTCTCTAACCTCTCGTTGAGACGTCGTGTCCTCTCTAACATCTCGTTGAGACGTCGTGTCCTCTCTAACATCTCGTTGAGACATCGTGTCCTCTCTAACATCTCGTTGAGACATCGTGTCCTCTCTAACATCTCGTTGAGACGTCGTGTCCTTCTCACCATCTCCTCTGGATGTCCTCGTAAACTCTTCTCTGAGACGTCTGTCCCTAAATATCTGTGGGGACTTCCTGTCCTGCTAATCCTGAGGAAGGATAACTCCCCCCCCCCAATGAGCACTTTGTTGACATGACTTTGTTGTTGTTGTTGTTTGTAGCGTTCATTGATTTACATCCAAAGGTATCTGAACGTTTTGATCCGTAAGCTTTGTTTAAATTCAACTCTTTAACGAGTTGTAATTCTACTCTACGGCCCCTCCCCCTTTACCTCGAGCCAATCACAGAGCTCCTAAAGACTCCTGGTCTGAATGCAGAGCTGTGATTGGTCAGTCTATTAAACACTTGTCCTCAGGTACAGATGCTGTTGAAGAAAGAAAAAGCACGTATACAAATATGTAATGATTTTACCCACAATGCACTGCTGTACTTCCTCTTTAATAAACACTGAATTTTTCCTGTTTCTCAAAAGATTTAGTTTTTTTTATCATTTTCAGAGTTGACTATTTCCCACATGTTGACTTAGTCATTAAAGGGGGCCGGTACGGAAGTGGGCCGGTCTATCTCGTGCCCTCATTGGTCATGTGCGAGTTCGTGTGTGTTGGAGGAGGGGCTCTGTGAGGAAGTGGCAGATTTCTCCGGTTGTGTATTTTCAAATTCCAGCGCACTCGAGCCGGTTTCTCAAACTTACCTACCCCACCTTTAATAATGTATTACATTATACTCTACATGTTGTCACTGAGCAACAGCGCCCCCCTGAGGACAGAAATACATTCAAAACAATGAAAGACTAAAAGAAATGTAAAATCCATTCCTTAATATATATAAATAATAACAATAATAATATGTAAGAATACAAATCATCCAATCATTTATCCAGAATATCATTTTGTGTTGAATTAATTTGAACTCAGATTCAGACGTCAATGTAAACTGAGCTCTGGATACCTGCAAGTGATTGGCCGAGGGGCGGGACATCTCTGAGCGGTGGACCAATCAGAGGACATGAGAGAGTGTGACACAAAGACATGTTTCCCTGACAGGTATCTCTTCATTACTGACATGAACAGTTCTCTACATGGGGTCCTCTCTAAACATGCTAATGAGCTATTATGGGATGTTCAGACACTCAGTGAAACACACTCTTGTTCAAAATGAAACTTTATTAAGTGGACAGGTGTGTGGAGGTGCCGCTGCACACGGTGCAGACACACACTCTCACACACACCTTCTGATGCAAAACACCTCCATACACACTCTCCCCCCTCCTGTTCTGATAGGGTGTCATCAGAGGGGGCGGGGCTTAAGCACAGGTAAACAGGAAGGCACATGTATGGCTGGGGGAGTAGTGTTCAGGGGAGGGGGGGTTAGTTTGGTCCGGTGTGTGTGTGTGTGTGTGTGTGTGTCAGAGTTCAGGAATGTCGAGGTGGTTGGTCCAGGTGGGGGGGGTGGGCACTCTCTGATGACATCATCACTACATGCCCATCCTGATGCTCTGGATGATCTGGAAGATGGCTGAGGAGGAAAACACACGTCAAAACGTTAGAGTCTAAAGAAACTTAAAGGTCTCCTATTATCCTCCTCTTCATCAATATATCACAGGTCTCAGATATATCCAGAGCCTGTCTCTGATTGGCTGAAACACCAAACAGATCATTGCAGCATTACCCATAATCCCCTCTGTTTCAGCCCTGTTTCCAAAGTGCTGATTGTCTGTCTGTTACTTTAGATGAAAATAAGGAGCCCCTCCCCACGCCCCTCTGAGAGACATTTGGTTACAAAGAACTCAATGGTGCTCTAGGAGGAGATTCAGGTGATAAGGGGGGGGGGGTTACCTTGGTTGCTGATTGGCTAATGGTTACACAAGACAACACATCGTTATGACATCAAGTGGCCAAAATCTGATCAGCTCATTTTCAGACAGGTTTTTATAGAAATGGATCAAAAAGAGAGAGGTTCAGGTAGAGATCAGCTGATCTGAGATCAGCTGATCTCAGAACAGATGATCTCAGATCAGCTGATCTCAGAACAGCTGATCTCAGAACAGATGGTCTCAGATCATCTGTTGGTGATCTCTGGACTTTGGATCAGAGTGAGACCTCCTCACTCAGACGTTATCTAAGCCCCGCCCCCTCACACCTGTCAGGTGACGTGCTGCTGTGTGATTGGTTAATCAGTTGATCTGGAGTTGAACTGGTTTATTTGTTCTTCAGCTCTCAATAGCCGCGTTCACACCGGAGTACTTTTCACCGTACTTTCCGTGTTTAGTTCCGTTAGTACCCCTTATGTCGCGTTCACACCGAAAAGAGCACTTCATCTCGGGAACTTTTACCCCCATGTGTAGTGCCTGCTGAGAGGTGGTACTCTCCTGGGGGAAAAGTGCCCCAGTTCTGATTGGCTGGGCCAATTGCAAACCACGCCCCGTACAACTGTGAAATGTTTTGTAGAGCCGCCATTTTATTATCCTCGCATTAGCATTATTAGCATTAGCATTAGCCCAGCGCACAAACGCAGAGAGACTAACTTATGGCAACACAAAATAAAACATGGGAGCGGTGGAGATGAGGAGGTGTTGGCGTTCTGGAGATTTCCTCTGAAGGCTTCAGTAGAAGCTGCTGGGAGTCCCAGCAGCTTCTACTGAAGCACTGAGTCCAGCAGCTTCTACTGAAGCACTGAGTCCAGCAGCTTCTACTGAAGCACTGAGTCCAGCAGCTTCTACTGAAGCACTGAGTCCAGCAGCTTCTACTGAAGCACTGAGTCCAGCAGCTTCTGTAGAAGCTGCTGGGAGTCCAGCAGCTTCTACTGAAGCTACTGGGAGTCCAGCAGCTTCTACTGAAGCTACTGGGACTCCCAGTAGCTTCAGTAGAAGCTACTGGGAGTCCAGCAGCTTCTACTGAAGCTACTGGGACTCCCAGTAGCTTCAGTAGAAGCTGCTGCACTCAGTGCTTCAGTAGAAGCTGCTGGACTCAGTGCTTCAGTAGAAGCTGCTGGGAGTCCCAGCAGCTTCTACTGAAGCACTGAGTGCAGCAAAGTACTTGGTGTGAACGCACCTCATGAGTAGCTGGAGCACGGTGAGAAACAACAACTAAGGCTGCGACACACTTCATACATTATATTATTTACATTTATATTCATGTCTTTATTTAAAACCTTTGGATTTATTGACTTTAAAACTCATCTCAACTCGTTATTAATCATCATATGAATAATAGATCAAAATGATGCAAAAGTTTATATATAATAAATATGTAATAATATAAATTAGGGCTGAACGATATATCGTGTCATGGCGATAACCGCGATATGCGCGATATGCACATCGCGGGGACGTGAGATTTTTTTTTATCAATATATATTTTAGTTTTCATTTGTTTTTTAGGACGTGATATTAAGCAGCTAAATCAACTACACGTTACAATTATTTAGCTGCTTGCTACAAAAGGAAAACTTGCTTGGCTCTCATGTCAGGGTCCTTGAGTGAGTGACAGGCTCTGCATGCACAGCTAACCACCAATCACAATCAGTCTTGATCAGATCACAGCAGGCCCCGCCCCCTAGTTTGCAGACCATCAAAACACAGGTTAAAGATGAGCGAGGCCCAGGAGGACAATACCGGAGAGAAGGAAGCTTTACTTCCAAAAAGAAAAGCAACATCTGGAAGTCTTTTGGATCCAAACAGGTTCTTCTCTTCTTCTCTGAAGACCCCCTAAAGCAACATCACTATCAGGACTGAAGGTATGACGAGTCACCAGTTTCCAGACGTCCAGGACTAAAACCCTTCATCCGGTTAAATAGAGTTTAAAAAAACGCAATATATATCACAGGGGAAAAAAATATCACAATGTCAGTATTTTTCAATATCGTGCAGCCCTAATATAAATATATAATAATATAAATATATAATAATATAAATATATAATAATATAAATATATAATAATATGAATGAGAAGCCGCACCTGATCCACAGACGACGAAGATGAAGAGAGCGAGCAGCCAGGGTCCCACGCCCTTCTCCTCCAGGATGTTCCTCTGAAACAAAGAAACCTTAATACATATATATATTCTCTCTCTACATATACATATATATATATATATATATATATATATATATATATTCTCTATATACACACACCATTACTGTATACTCTCTATATATATACACACAACCCTAACTACTGACCAACCCTAACCCTAACCCTGACCCAGTCTGAGGGTGACCCTGACCCAGTCTGAGGGTGACCCTGACCCAGTCTGAGGGTCTGATGGTGACCCTAACCCAGTCTGAGGGTCTGAGGGTGACCCTGACCCAGTCTGAGGGTCTGAGGGTGACCCTAACCCAGTCTGAGGGTCTGATGGTGACCCTGACCCAGTCTGAGGGTCTGATGGTGACCATGACCCAGTCTGAGGGTCTGAGGGTGACCCTAACCAGTCTGAGGGTCTGATGGTGACCCTGACCCAGTCTGAGGGTCTGATGGTGACCCTGACCCAGTCTGAGGGTCTGAGGGTGACCCTAACCCAGTCTGAGGGTCTGATGGTGACCCTGACCCAGTCTGAGGGTCTGATGGTGACCCTGACCCAGTCACCTGAGAGGCTCACCTGAGAGGCTCACCTGAGAGCAGACCCTCACTGAGGAGACACAGGTTATTATTGGATGTTTATCTGTGGCTTTAAATGTGAATACAGCAGCAGTCTTTCCTGATTGGCTGGTTTTAGGATGTAAATAAACCTGTTATAAACTAATCAGATCTCTCCCCTGGGGCCCGCCTCAGTGAGGGTCTGACAGGTTTCAGAGCCCCTGGGGCCCGCCTCAGTGAGGGTCTGACGGGTTTCAGAGACCCTGGGGCCCGCCTCAGTGAGGGTCTGACGGGTTTCAGAGCCCCTGGGGCCCGCCTCAGTGAGGGTCTGATGGGTTTCAGAGACCCTGGGGCCCGCCTCAGTGAGGGTCTGACGGGTTTCAGAGCCCCTGGGGCCCGCCTCAGTGAGGGTCTGACGGGTTTCAGAGCCCCTGGGGCCCGCCTCAGTGAGGGTCTGACGGGTTTCAGAGCCCCTGGGGCCGGTCTCAGTGAGGGTCTGACGGGTTTCAGAGACCCTGGGGCCCGCCTCAGTGAGGGTCTGACGGGTTTCAGAGACCCTGGGGCCCGCCTCAGTGAGGGTCTGACGGGTTTCAGAGCCCCTGGGGCCGGTCTCAGTGAGGGTCTGACGGGTTTCAGAGACCCTGGGGCCCGCCTCAGTGAGGGTCTGACGGGTTTCAGAGACCTTAGAGTTATTTGAAGTGTTTTTCCACGAGTCGATAAAGATGAAGTTTGGGGTTCTCTTCTCTCTTCAGTGAACCATCAACATCCTGTTTGACTCTGATCCTGAGGGTCCCCCCATCAGACAGAGCTCAGCTTTAAGGAGTCAGGGTACAGGTGAGCCTCACCTGAGAGACTCACCTGAGACCTCTGTATATATGTGTATAGAGGTCTCAGGTGAGGCTCTCAGGTGAGGCTCTCAGGTGAGACCTCTGTATATATGTGTAGAGGTCTCAGGTGAGGCTCTCAGGTGAGGCTCTCAGGTGAGGCTCTCAGGTGAGGCTCTCAGGTGAGGCTCTCAGGTGAGGCCTCTGTATATACTAAACAGTCGTCTCCAGGTGTTCATAAAGCCAAAGTCACTTGAAGTTAAAAACATTCTCTAACAAATCTCAGTCGGTGTAAAGGGTCGTTATTTATATTTCATAACCAGCTTTAATCAAACCTTTAATTTAATATCATTTTGGGATTGCTTTTAGTAATGAAATAATGAAAGGTGCTTTACGAATCAAATGTATTATTATTATGAATCATCCTGAGGAACAGCTGTTAGCTCTTTGTAGCACAGAGAGGGTCCAAGGACCAACTTCACTTTACATCGATCACTCATGAGCCACATGTTGGTGTGAGGTAAGGGTCAGCAGCTGGTACCAACATGTACTATTATTATTATTATTATTATTATTATTATTATAATAATGAAACAGCTGTTCTGCTCAGCTGGATTTGGCCACGTCTCCCATCAGAGAGGCTCCAGATGTAACTCTGTGTACCCCTCAGGTGAGTTAAGGGTCTCTGAGGCAAGTTAAGGGTCTCTCAGGTAAGTTAAGGGTCTCTCAGGTGAGTTAAGGGTCTCTCAGGTGAGGGTCCAGGTACATTAAGGTGTATATATTGATGGTTATAGATCAGCTGTTGGACTCACGTTGGATTTGGCCACGTTCCCCCGCAGAGTGATGTTCTTGCTGTGCTTCTCGTTGGCCATGCGGATCCTCTGTTTGGCCACCATCTTCTTCTCTTGAGTGGTTTCTCACTGGTTCCCGGTGGTTCTGATGGTTCTGATGGTTCTGGTGGTTCTGGGGAGTTTTCCTGCGTCTTCTTCTGTGGTGGAGGACTGCAGAGTGGGAGCCGCTTCTCTTGTCTACGTCCTCAAAAAGAGTAAGTCCCGCCTCCTCAGCCCCACCGGAAAAGCTGCTTCCATCATCAAGTTACCTGCTGTCAAGTTGAGACGCACTTCCGGTGTGGTCCTCCAAAATAAAATCGAGGAACACTGCTTCGCGTTAAAACTGGTTTCCAGGAATAGTCATTATATGATTAAGATCAAAGGACAGTACAGTAAAGTAAGTATTATCGTATATGTACTTATAAAAGTAGTTTAACACCACGTATTTAATACTATATTAACTGATCTCCACACTGGGCGCTTTTACTCTGACACCGGAAGTGACCTCTCTGCACGCGTCACTCCAACAGCTTAACGCATTTCTAAAACACGAAACATTTATAAAAACAGTTTTTTTATAATGAATGGATGAAATCGGTTTAGATATCGATCAGAAACCCCGCGGTTTGTTTCAGAATAAAAAAATATAAACAGTTTTCAGATGTTTTGACTGACGTGTCGCGGACTGTACGCTGATGTGGCACTGGAAGCCCCGCCCACTTCCGTGACGTACTTGTACTGACGTATATCTGCTGACGTAGGGTTTTCTTCTTCTTCCGGTTCACGCAAACATGGCGCAACCCATCCCGCTGTTAGCAGGTGGGTAACTTATTAATGTTTACTTTAATAAACACGTGTTGTTGTTGTTGTTATTGTTTGTGCTGTTAGAGTAGATGCAGACTGAGAGCTGCGCGTGGTGCTGAACAGAAACAACCTGCACCAAACTCAAAATCTGGTGTTTTTATTTAAACAGATGTATTTACAGCCTAAAGGTAAAGGTAAAGACTTCAGGTAAAGACTTCAGGTGAATCAGTGAAGACTTCGGAGTCATTCGGCTTTAAATAAATACATAAATAACCTTTAAATATATTAAATAATCCTCTGAAACCTCTCCATGCAGTTCCTCTCTGTATCAGCGTCTCTGAGGAAAACAGTGATGATTTGGAGATAAAAAGTTAAAATCCAGTCAGAATATAAATTATATTTAAGCCGAATTGGAGAACAGCTTCTGATGTTTCAGGAAAGGTCTTCAGAGTGGTTTTATTCCACAGGTTTCTCATCTTTTAAACAGAAAATGTGTTACTTAGTAGATTTCCTAACGGAGTCTGGAGACCACCGATCATTCTCAGCAAACTCAGTTTAAAATCTGTTGTTTTTATTTAAACAGATGTATTTACAGCCTAAAATAAAGGTGAAGACTTCAGGTGAACCAGTGAAGTTTTCTGAGTTGTTCGGCTTTAATTAAACCCATAAATAACCTTTAAATATATCAAATAATCCTAATAATATCTCCACGCTGTTCCCTCTCTAGTATCTCTAGTATCTCCCTCACAGCTGATGATCTGACCTTAAAAAGTAAAAATCCAGTGTAAATAAATCTGTCTTATAAATTATATTTAGCCCGAATTAAAGAACAGCTCTTACTGATTTAGGAAATGTCCTCAGAGGGATTTTATTCCACATGTTTCTCAGCTTTTAAACAGAAACTGTGTTTAAATAATAGATGTCCTGACAGAGACTGGAGACCACTGATCAGTTCAACATCTGGTGTTTTTATTTTATTTTATGTCTTAAATCATCTGATGTTAACTAAATAGTTTATTATTAATAATAAATATATTTAATGTTTCAGTGCGAGGGTCAGACGGCACCTCTCTGCTGTCCGGACCCACCTGTGAGCCGCTGGCCAACTTCAACAGGTAACACACACACACACACACACACACACACACACACACACACACACACACACACACACACACACACACACACAGAGACACAGAGACACAGACAGACGTGTCACTGAGCAATAACAATATTTTTTGTGTGTGTGTCAGGGATGCGCGGCCCTCCAGGTGTGTGACCTTCAGCCGAGATGGGTCTCTGTTCGGCTGGTGCAACGGACACAGGTCACTATTACACTCTCACAATAACTATATATATATAATCATATTAATAAATACAATAATCAATAATATGTTTTCCTGTGCGTCAGTGTGTCTGTGGTGCGGTGTGCAGACGGCTCCCTGCTCTCGACCTTTGACCTCCCTAAGACCTCCGTGCTGAAGATCTCTCCTCAGAACACCGTGCTGGCTACCTGGCAGCCCTACAGCAGTGTGTAGCACACACACACACACACACACACACACACACACACACACACACACACACACACACACCTGGCAGCCCTACAGCAGTGTGTAGCACACACACACACACACACACACACACACACACACACACACACACACACACACCTGGCAGCCCTACAGCAGTGTGCCTCCACAGTATTCCGGGGGCCAGAGCGGGCGACGTTGAGGCGCATCTTAAACTGCTGGCTAAAACTAAACGTGAATACAGTAAGGTTGTTTTTCACGTCGGTGGTAATGATGTTCCTTTACGCCAATCAGAATGCACCAAAGCTAATGTGGCGTCAGTGTGTAGATATGCTAAAACAATGTCGGACACCGTTAATTTTCTCTGGTCCCCTCCCCAATCCGATCAATGACGGCATGTATAGCCGCATGCCATCATTCCAGCGCTGGTTGTCTTGGTGGTGCCCAGCAAACCATGTGGGCTTCGTAAATAATTGGACAGCCTTCTGGGGAAAACCTGGTCTGATTAAGAGAGACGGCATTCATCCTACTCTGGAAGGTGCACATCTCATTTAGGCAAACATTTCAGAGCTTTGTGATCCATGACAAACTGGAGTTGAGACCAGGAGGCGGAGTCTTACACGCTTCTCTGCGCTCTCTCCAATAAAATACCCAATATTAACGGTGTGTGTGTCTGCCCAAGGACAATTTAAAGTGGACCTATCATGCTATATGTAAATGATATATTGTAGGGCCATACCTATATAAGGTATATTTATACGTTTCTGTTTTCAAAATACCAAACAGATCATGCATTTTAGCCATGCCTCATTTCTCTCTATGTGCTGTTTGCTGTCTACGGGGCTGATTCTGCTGACCACGCCCCCCTGCAGGAGAGGGGAGACGTGCTCTGATCAGCTGCTGACCACGCCCCCCTGCAGGAGAGGGGAGACGTGCTCTGATCAGCTGCTGGGCTGTCAGAAGAGGGGGAGAAAAAGAGATCTCCGTCCTCCGTGTTTTATTATATAGAGTCGTTATTCATTTGTTTTAAAGCTCAATAAATAACAAAGAAGACCTTTGACCGGCACTTTTCTCATTTTGTCCGGAAGATTTAAACTTTAACGGACATCTTGACCGGAGAAAGAAACTGAAACTGAAACTCTGCCGCACGGTCCCCTGGTTCCTTGGAAGAGGCGGAGAGGTGGGTGTTTGTCATCTGCTGGTGGACTAACCGGAGAGAATTACAGTGCTTGCCTCGACGGGGAGGGATTGCATTGAATTAAAGCAGCAGGAGCAAACGCTTGCCTCGGGGAGGGAGAAAGAAAGCCACAGCGGAGAATAAACAGAAGGGTAACCATGGCAACTATGGGCGGGAAGTCTTCTTCGCTGCTTTTGTGGCAGACTACAGCGCCACTTACAGGCCTGGCATATGTACTACAGCGTCTCCAGCGCTTTCGAGCGGCAATGGCCGGCCGTGGCCCAACCCCACATTCCCCTGATAGGTGGAGAGTTGGCCCAATAGCCGTAGCGCCACCGTCCTGACGTCAGGACAGTGTTCAAATCTGGATCAGTTTTTATCAGATCCGTTGCAGCCCCTTTTTTAGAGATTTGGGTATGGAGGAAAATAGAGAGGGTTGTGTTTTCTGACACTTGGTGAGTTCCCTGGAACACCGGGGACACATATTCATGTATACAAGACGTACAAACGTGCATTTTGCATGATAGGTCCCCTTTAAGGTCAAACCTAATAGAGGTGTCAGACATAATAACCTCATGAAAGTCAAAGTAACTACTACAGTGCAACAAAACAGGAAGATTAAATGTGGTCTCTTAAACATAAGATCTCTAGCATCTAGAGCAATATTGGTAAATGATTTAATATCAGATTATAATATTGATATATGCTGTCTCACTGAAACTTGGTTGAGACATGAAGAATATGTCAGCATAAATGAGGCCACTCCACCCCACATCTCTTTTTGGTGTCTATCTACGCCGGGATCCTGAGTCGTGGCTCTGCCTGCTGCTGTGGTCCTGGATCATAAGTCCTGGATGGATATCCTCGTGGATTCATCTTCTTATTATAGACACATGCATTTCCAAACATGTGGACTACCTACGCTGCAAATGTTTTATCTCTTTGATTTACACACGGCATCTAGTGCACGTCTGTCCGTCCTGGGAGAGGGATCCCTCCTCTGTTGCTCTCCCTGAGGTTTCTCCATGTTCCTTTAAACTGTGGGGTTTCTCTGGAAGTGTTTCCTTGTACGATGTGAGGGTCTAAGGACAGAGGGTCTAAGGACAGAGGGTCTGAGGACAGAGGGTCTGAGGACAGAGGGTGTAAGGACAGAGGGTCTAAGGACAGAGGGTCTGAGGACAGAGGGTCTGAGGACAGAGGGTCTGAGGACAGAGGGTCTGAGGACAGAGGGTCTAAGGACAGAGGGTGTAAGGACAGAGGGTCTAAGGACAGAGGGTCTAAGGACAGAGGGTCTAAGGACAGAGGGTGTAAGGACAGAGGGTCTGAGGACAGAGGGTGTGAGGACAGAGGGTCTGAGGACAGAGGGTCTGAGGACAGAGGGTCTGAGGACAGAGGGTCTAAGGACAGAGGGTGTAAGGACAGAGGGTCTGAGGACAGAGGGTCTGAGGACAGAGGGTCTGAGGACAGAGGGTCTGAGGACAGAGGGTCTAAGGACAGAGGGTCTAAGGACAGAGGGTGTAAGGACAGAGGGTCTGAGGACAGAGGGTCTAAGGACAGGGTGTAAGGACAGAGGGTGTAAGGACAGAGGGTCTGAGGACAGAGGGTCTAAGGACAGAGGGTCTAAGGACAGAGGGTCTGAGGACAGAGGGTCTAAGGACAGAGGGTCTAAGGACAGAGGGTGTAAGGACAGAGGGTCTGAGGACAGAGGGTGTAAGGACAGAGGGTCTAAGGACAGAGGGTCTGAGGACAGAGGGTCTGAGGACAGAGGGTCTGAGGACAGAGGGTCTAAGGACAGAGGGTCTAAGGACAGAGGGTCTGAGGACAGAGGGTCTAAGGACAGAGGGTCTAAGGACAGAGGGTGTAAGGACAGAGGGTCTGAGGACAGAGGGTGTAAGGACAGAGGGTCTAAGGACAGAGGGTCTGAGGACAGAGGGTCTGAGGACAGAGGGTCTGAGGACAGAGGGTCTGAGGACAGAGGGTGTAAGGACAGAGGGTCTGAGGACAGAGGGTCTAAGGACAGGGTGTAAGGACAGAGGGTGTAAGGACAGAGGGTCTGAGGACAGAGGGTATAAGGACAGAGGGTCTGAGGACAGAGGGTCTGAGGACAGAGGGTCTAAGGACAGAGGGTCTAAGGACAGAGGGTGTAAGGACAGAGGGTCTGAGGACAGAGGGTCTAAGGACAGAGGGTGTAAGGACAGAGGGTCTAAGGACAGAGGGTCTAAGGACAGAGGGTGTAAGGACAGAGGGTCTGAGGACAGAGGGTGTAAGGACAGAGGGTCTAAGGACAGAGGGTCTAAGGACAGAGGGTGTAAGGACAGAGGGTGTAAGGACAGAGGGTCTAAGGACAGAGGGTGTAAGGACAGAGGGTCTGAGGACAGAGGGTGTAAGGAGAGAGGGTGTAAGGACAGAGGGTGTAAGGACAGAGGGTCTAAGGACAGAGGGTCTGAGGACAGAGGGTCTGAGGACAGAGGGTGTAAGGACAGAGGGTCTAAGGACAGAGGGTCTAAGGACAGAGGGGTCTAAGGACAGAGGGTCTGAGGACAGAGGGTCTGAGGACAGAGGGTCTGAGGACAGAGGGTCTAAGGACAGAGGGTCTAAGGACAGAGGGTCTAAGGACAGAGAGTCTGAGGACAGAGGGTCTAAGGACAGAGGGTCTAAGGACAGAGGGTCTGAGGACAGAGGGTCTGAGGACAGAGGGTCTGAGGACAGAGGGTGTAAGGACAGAGGGTGTAAGGACAGAGGGTCTAAGGACAGAGGGTCTAAGGACAGAGGGTCTGAGGACAGAGGGTGTGAGGACAGAGGGTGTAAGGACAGAGGGTGTAAGGACAGAGGGTCTGAGGACAGAGGGTCTGAGGACAGAGGGTCTGAGGACAGAGGGTGTAAGGACAGAGGGTCTGAGGACAGAGGGTCTGAGGACAGAGGGTCTAAGGACAGAGGGTCTGAGGACAGAGGGTCTGAGGACAGAGGGTCTGAGGACAGAGGGTCTGAGGACAGAGGGTCTAAGGACAGAGGGTGTAAGGACAGAGGGTCTAAGGACAGAGGGTCTGAGGACAGAGGGTCTGAGGACAGAGGGTCTAAGGACAGAGGGTCTAAGGACAGAGGGTCTAAGGACAGAGGGTCTAAGGACAGAGGGTCTGAGGACAGAGGGTCTGAGGACAGAGGGTGGAAGGGACAGAGGGTGTAAGGACAGAGGGTGTAAGGACAGAGGGTCTAAGGACAGAGGGTCTGAGGACAGAGGGTCTGAGGACAGAGGGTCTGAGGACAGAGGGTCTAAGGACAGAGGGTCTAAGGACAGAGGGTCTAAGGACAGAGGGTCTGAGGACAGAGGGTCTGAGGACAGAGGGTCTGAGGACAGAGGGTCTGAGGACAGAGGGTCTGAGGAACAGAGGGTGTCGTATTGTCACTGATATTCTGAACCAAACTGTGAAGTCCACTGAGACACATGTGATATTGGGCTATAAATAAAACATTGATTGATTGACTACATTCATATACATATAAGGATGTTGTGTGGTGTGTGTGTGTGTGTTGTGTGTGTGTGTGTGTGTGTGTGTGTGTGTGTGTGTGTGTGTGTGTGTGTGTGTGTGTGTGGTTGTGTGTGTGTGTGTGTGTGTGTGGTGTGTGTGTGTGTGTGTGTGTGTGTGTGTGTGTGGTGTGTGTGTGTGTGTGTGTGTGTGTGTGTGTGTGGTGTGTGTGTGTGTGTGTGTGTGTGTGTGTGTGTGTGTGTGTGTGTGTGTGTGTGTGTGTAGAGGCTCAGGACAGTGCTCAGGGAGACCCTAACCTCCAGCTGTGGGACGTACAGAGCGGTCAGCTGCTCAAAGCTCTGTTCCAGAAGAAGATGGAGTCATGGTGAGCACTGACACACTCTCACACACACACACTCTCACTCACACACACACACACACTCTCACACACACTCAGACTCTCATGCTGCGCTTTGATTGGCTGCAGGTGTCCCAGCTGGTCTGCAGACGAGCAGATTGCAGTGCGGAGCGTCAACAACGAGCTGCACTTCTACGAGAACAACGACTTCAGTAAGACCCCCCCCTCTGTCATAATACCTGTTATAAGACCAGAGGCCTGTGCTACCAAGCCAGTTCAACCTAACCAGAGGCCTGTACTACGAAGCCAGTTCAACCTAACCAGAGGCCTGTACTCTGAAGCCAGTTCAACCTAACTAGAGGCCTGTACTACGAAGCCAGTTCAACCTAACTAGAGGCCTGTACTACGAAGCCAGTTCAACCTAACCAGAGGCCTGTACTCTGAAGCCAGTTCAACCTAACTAGAGGCCTGTACTACGAAGCCAGTTCAACCTAACCAGAGGCCTGTACTCTGAAGCCAGTTCAACCTAACCAGAGGCCTGTACTACGAAGCCAGTTCAACCTAACTAGAGGCCTGTACTACGAAGCCAGTTCAACCTAACTAGAGGCCTGTACTACGAAGCCAGTTCAACCTAACCAGAGGCCTGTACTACGAAGCCAGTTCAACCTAACTAGAGGCCTGTACTACGAAGCCAGTTCAACCTAACTAGAGGCCTGTACTACGAAGCCAGTTCAACCTAACCAGAGGCCTGTACTACGAAGCCAGTTCAACCTAACCAGAGGCCTGTACTCTGAAGCCAGTTCAACCTAACCAGAGGCCTGTACTCTGAAGCCAGTTCAACCTAACCAGAGGCCTGTACTACGAAGCCAGTTCAACCTAACCAGAGGCCTGTGCTCTGAAGCCAGTTCAACCTAACCAGAGGCCTGTGCTACGAAGCCAGTTCAACCTAACTAGAGGCCTGTACTACGAAGCCAGTTCAACCTAACCAGAGGCCTGTACTCTGAAGCCAGTTCAACCTAACCAGAGGCCTGTGCTACGAAGCCGGTTCAACCTAACCAGAGGCCTGTACTCTGAAGCCAGTTCAACCTAACCAGAGGCCTGTGCTACGAAGCCAGTTCAACCTAACTAGAGGCCTGTACTACGAAGCCAGTTCAACCTAACCAGAGGCCTGTACTCTGAAGCCAGTTCAACCTAACCAGAGGCCTGTGCTACGAAGCCGGTTCAACCTAACCAGAGGCCTGTACTCTGAAGCCAGTTCAACCTAACCAGAGGCCTGTGCTACGAAGCCGGTTCAACCTAACTAGAGGCCTGTACTCTGAAGCCAGTTCAACCTAACCAGAGGCCTGTGCTACGAAGCCGGTTCAACCTAACCAGAGGCCTGTGCTACGAAGCCGGTTCAACCTAACCAGAGGCCTGTACTCTGAAGCCAGTTCAACCTAACCAGAGGCCTGTACTCTGAAGCCAGTTCAACCTAACCAGAGGCCTGTACTCTGAAGCCAGTTCAACCTAACTAGAGGCCTGTACTCTGAAGCCAGTTCAACCTAACTAGAGGCCTGTGCTACGAAGCCAGTTCAACCTAACCAGAGGCCTGTACTCTGAAGCCAGTTCAACCTAACTAGAGGCCTGTACTCTGAAGCCAGTTCAACCTAACCAGAGGCCTGTGCTACGAAGCCGGTTCAACCTAACCAGGATCTCTCTGAGTTACCCGGCTTACCTAATCCAAAACAAACGTGCTCTCGCTAAGCGGTCCTACCACGCTGGTTATCAACTCGGTAACTCAAGCCAGGGTTTCTCTGTCCGGCTGAGAGCACGTTCACATGAAAGGGGCGGGGCTAGCAACACTGACCAATCACAAACATGGAGAAGCGTACTGACAGCGCAGCGTCATACTTCCTGAATGAAAAGTGAACTTTAATATTAGACAAATATGAAGAAGTTAAACTTTAAACATCCATGACTTAAACACTTTATCCAGGATCAAAGCCACATAGCTGCACCTGCAAGGTGAATACAGCTGGTAACAGAGAAAGTGTTTGAATGCGTACATTAACAGGTTTATGATATCACTGCCCCGTCTAAGACACGATCTGACTTTAATTACATTTGACTCAAGTGTTTCATCAACTTAATGTGTTGCTTAAAATAATACTTCTGCATCCAGTATGTGACACTGTGAGTGTTGCACGGCCAGATACGGCTCAGCTGACTCAGATAAGGAGATATATGATACATTATGATGTGATATGATATGAATGATAATGGGACACATCAACGTCTGCACTCACAGTGCCGCGGACTGTACTTAATGTTACTCTGATCCGGTTACTTATGTCGTGGCAGATATTTAAGTAAGCTTTCTTAACGCTAATATTATAATAGTCAGATTGCTCTGAAGATGGGAGGGGATATTCTATTAATGTTCACGTTCACACAGTCAGTTGATTTTTGCCGGCCGTCTTTCCTGCAACGGCAGTTTTTCTGTATTTCCTCTATCCTGTAATATGAATTGATCACTTTAAACTCTGCACACTGAGCTCTGATTGGTCAGCAGGTGGTGCTTTCACTGAGTTGATCTCTTAGCCTGCAACCTAACCTGCTCCGGAGGAGGTTAGCCGCTCAGCATAAGTTACCATGGAGATCTAGCCCGCTAAAAAGAGAACCAGCGTCGTAGGACCGGAAAGCCAGAGATTTTCCTGAAGTTAGCCGCTAAGAGAACATCCGGCTTCGTAGTACAGGCCTCTGGTGAGCTCAGAGGAGATCAACAGGTGAGCTCTGACAGTTGTCATAACACCTGTTATAACACCTGTTATAAGACTTATATCTAACACATGTCATAACACTTTCAATAACACCTGTTATAACACTTGTGTAATAACATGTGTAATAACAGGGACTTGTTTTACAGAACATTTGAACTCATGAGAGCGTGATTTATTTTCAGCTAATATATAACATAATGTACATTAATGTAACTTTCAAAAGCGTTAGCTTCTTTAGCATTAGCTCTGTTAGCTGTTAGTTCTGTTAGCATTAGTTCTGTTAGCTGTTAGTTCTGTTAGCATTAGCTCTGTTAGCTGTTAGTTCTGTTAGCATTAGCTCTGTAGCTGTTAGTTCTGTTAGCATTAGTTCTGTTAGCATTAGCTCTGTTAGCTGTTAGTTCTGTTAGCATTAGTTCTGTTAGCTGTTAGTTCTGTTAGCATTAGCTCTGTTAGCTGTTAGTTCTGTTAGCATTAGTTCTGTTAGCTGTTAGTTCTGTTAGCATTAGCTCTGTAGCTGTAGTTCTGTTAGCATTAGCTGTTAGCATTAGCTCTGTTAGCTGTTAGTTCTGTTAGCATTAGTTCTGTTAGCATTAGCTCTGTTAGCTGTTAGTTCTGTTAGCATTAGTTCTGTTAGCATTAGCTCTGTTAGCTGTTAGTTCTGTTAGCATTAATTCTGTTAGCATTAGTTCTGTTAGCTGTTAGTTCTGTTAGCTGTTAGTTCTGTTAGCATTAGTTATGTTAGCATTAGCTCTGTTAGCTGTTAGTTCTGTTAGCATTAGTTCTGTTAGCATTAGCTCTGTTAGCTGTTAGTTCTGTTAGCATTAGTTCTGTTAGCATTAGTTCTGTTAGCTGTTAGTTCTGTTAGCATTAGCTCTGTTAGCTGTTAGTTCTGTTAGCATTAGTTCTGTTAGCTGTTAGTTCTGTTAGCATTAGCTCTGTTAGCTGTTAGTTCTGTTAGCTGTTAGTTCTGTTTTCTGTTAGCATTAGCTCTGTTAGCTGTTAGTTCTGTTAGCATTAGCTCTGTTAGCTGATAGCTCTGTGTTTTCTTATTTGCATATTAATGCATTCCAATGATTTCTGCAGACACGATCGCCAACAAGCTGCACATGCAGAAGGTCTCAGACTTCACGCTCTCTCCTGGGGGGGCGCCCAGCAAGGTGAGGGGGGGGCAGGTTATTATTCATCATCATCTCAGTAAACAGTCTTATATCTAACGCCCCCCCCCCCGACAGGTGTGTGTTTACGTCCCGGGCAGTAAGGGCGCCCCCTCCTTTGTGAGGCTGTATCAGTACCCTCAGCTCGGGGGGCCGGGGGCCGCACTCGCTAACAAGAGCTTCTTCAAGGCCGACAGGGTCAGCATGACGTGGAACAACAAGGGTACTATTATTATATTACTATTATTACTATTGTTGTTGTGTTGTCTTGTTGTTGTTATTATTACTATTGTTGTTGTTTTGTTGTTGATAAGATAAAAAGTACTTTATTGATCCCAATTTGGGAAATGTTTGATTGTTGTTGTTGTTATATAAAGTAAACAACCCCCTCCCCCTCAGCGTCGGCGGTGCTGGTGACAGCGAGCACGGAGGTGGATAAGAGCGGAGCCTCGTACTACGGCGAGCAGACGCTCCACTTCCTGTCTGTGAGCGGGGAGACAGCACTGGTGCAGCTGCGTCAGTACACCTTCCGATTATATTACACACTCACCTGAGGACTCACCTGAGCACTCACCTGAGGACTCACCTCTCACCTGAACACTCACCTCAGCACTCACCTGAGCATTCACCTGAGGACTCACCTGAGCACTCACCTGAGGACTCACCTGAGCACTCACCTGAGGACTCACCTGAGGACTCACCTCTCACCTGAGGACTCACCTGAGCACTCACCTGAGGACTCACCTGAGCACTCACCTGAGCACTCACCTGATGACTCACCTGAGCACTCACCTGAGCACTCACCTGAGGACTCACCTGAGGACTCACCTCTCACCTGAGGACTCACTGAGGACTACCTGGACTCACCTGAGGACTCACCTGAGCACTCACCTGAGCTCTCACCTGAGGACTCACCTGAGCTCTCACCTGAGGACTCACCTGAGGACTCACCTGAGGACTCACCTGAGGACTCACCTGAGGACTCACCTCTCACCTGAGCACTCACCTGAGCACTCACCTGAGCACTCACCTCTCACCTGAGGACTCACCTGAGCACTCACCTGAGGACTCACCTGAGGACTCACCTCTCACCTGAGGACTCACCTGTCTGCTTCTCTTCCTGTCCACAGAGAAGAACGGGCCCATCTACGACGTCTCGTGGTCTCCCAGCTCTTCTGAGTTCTGTGTTGTTTACGGCTTCATGCCGGCCAAAGCCACCGTCTACAACCTGAAGTGTGACCCGCTGTTCGACTTCGGGACGGGACCGCGCAACGCCGCCTACTACAGGTGAGACACGCCCACTACAGGTGAGACACGCCTCCTACAGGGGAGACACGCCTCCTACAGGTGAGACACCTGATGAGACACGCCCACCTGGTCTCACCTGTGTTTCAGTCCTCAGCCTCTCACCAGGGGCCTCATTCATAAAGCCTTCTGTAGGATTCACGTGGGAAGTTTGCTTACGTTGGACAAAGCAAATAAATACGCACCGACACTTTCCGATTCATAAAAGACTGCGTACCGGCGCAGGACTTGCGTACGGGACATCCTACGCCGGTTTCCCTTTATAAATCACAATCAACTCGAAATGCGGCGCAGCTTTTGCGGGCTTCACGTAACGCCCATATGTGCCTATAAATAGTCAAAGAAACGCCCATTCATCCATCCATCCATCCATCCATCCATCCATCCATCTATCCATCCATCCATCCATCCATCCATCCATCCATCCATCCATCCAATCCTCCATCCATCCATCCATCCATCCATCCATCCATCCCATCCATCCATCCATCATCCATCCATCCATCCATCCATCCATCATCCATCCATCCTCCATCCATCCATCCATCCATCCATCCATCCATCCATCCATCCATCCATCCATCCATCCATCCATCCATCCATCCATCCATCCATCCATCCATCCATCCATCCATCCATCCATCCATCCATCCATCCATTCATTCATTCTGACTGACTGAAGTAGATCAGGAAATGACGATAGAACAGCTAAAAGAGACATCTCACACACCGAGTCAGATTTAGGTTATTTTGTGGAGGTGGAGATAAATCATATTGTTTGGTGGATGCAGTTTGAACCAGAGTAGCAGCATGGAGGTCGGATCGTCACCAACATAAATAAATAAGTGGTCAGAAAAAAGTGAATGACAAAATAAATACACATAACCTTCCTCAGGCAGTGTGTTTGTCCCGGGGACAGGAGACCCCCCCCCTTGATGAGAAACTAAGAAATGATGGGGGAATCCCTCCGGAGTGTAGTCATGACGACTGGATCTGAATGATTGTGTTGTATTTGGTGGTTTGTGTTCCAGCTGTCGATCAGCAACTATATCTCCAGAATCCACCAGTTAAAGGAAATACAATGTGTTGTGTTATATTAGCTGTTTACCACATATGGTGTTCTTAGTTTCCATACCTCCTGGGTTTTACGAGCCACTTATCAAGTCTTGGCAAACGGCATAAAACACGATTAAACGTGATAGTATATAAAACCATGCTCGTATCTACAACCTATAGAAATGCAAACCTCTGTCCTCCTGCTTACCGCATCATTAGTGAGAAAACATTTCATAACATTAACACAACATATTCGAGGTGGTTTTAAATAACATATCCGTATTTATTTATTTCTCCAAGTGATGTGTGTGTGTGCACTGAGGAGTCTCAAACAGGCGTTTGTTCCATAATTTTAAAGATTGGCTTTAATCAATGTTTGAAAATGAATTCTTCATATTTGATAAATGAGAGGTAACATTTTATTGATGGTATTATTTCCACATATTTCTCTCCATTCTTTCTTCTGCCAACGGTGTCGCAGTTTCTCCTCTCTCCCGTTGTTGTGCTTAGTGCGTACGCATGGGTTAGAGTTTGCGTGGAGGACCGCACATTTTCCCCTCAAGTTAGTATTTTATAAATCGTAAACATTGCGTAGAAACTGGCGTACGCCATTTTTTGTGCGTGCGCACCGTTTATAAAGAGGCCCCTGGTCTCTCCTGTGTTTGAGTCCTCAGGCTCTCACCTGGTCTCACCTGTGTTTGAGTCCTCAGGCTCTCACCTGGTCTCACCTGTGTTTGAGTCCTCAGGCTCTCACCTGGTCTCACCTGTGTTTGAGTCCTCAGGCTCTCACCTGGTCTCACCTGTGTTTCAGTCCTCAGGGTCACATACTGATCCTCGCAGGCTTCGGGAACCTTCGGGGTCAGATGGAGGTCTGGGACGTGAAGAAGTACAAACAGGTGAGGAAGACCCCCCCCCCCCCTCCTCTGTCTTTGATCCAGCTCAGGTGTGTTAATGGTCTGACTCCTCCCCCTCAGGTGTGTTAATGGTCTGCCCCTCCCCCTCAGGTGTCTAAGCCCCAGGCTCCGGACGCCACCCACTTCTCGTGGTGTCCTGACGGGGAACACGTGATCACGTCCACCTGCTCGCCCCGGCTGAGGGTCGGGAACCGGTTCCAGGTGTGGCACTACGGGGGGGCTGTGGTTCACAAACAGGAAGTGGCTGAGGGCACGGAGCTGTGGGAGGTCCGCTGGCAGAACCTTCCTCCAGGTAGCTTCCCCCAGAGGGCTGTCAGGTACCAGCAGGAGGCCGGACCCCTGGGGAGCACCCAGCCCCCCCCCCACTCAGGCATACCGTCCCCCCGCACTGAGACACCTGCCCCCCGCTGAGAGGGCCCGACTGGTGAGGAACCATCATGTTCTGTTCTGATCAGATCATCTTCTGGTAATAATGATGTTTCTTCTCTCAGCACGAGGAGGAACCCGCTCAGAACCTCCGACCCGGAGACAAGAGTCTCTCTAAAGCGGCTCTGAAGAACCAGAAGAAGAGGGACAACAAGAAGGCCGCCAAACAGGTGAGCAGCCAATCAAGGATGGTCATGTGACCGTGCTGTAGTTCCTTTATAGCCCAAACATTAGCCACCTTTAGCTTAGCGGTGGGTGACGTGAAGTCATGTGACCGTGCTGTAGTTCCTTTATAGCCCAACATTAGCCGCCTTTAGCTTAGCGGTGGTGACGTGAAGTCATGTGACCCGTGCTCTAGTTCCTTTATAGCCCAACATTAGCCACCTTTAGCTTAGCGGTGGTGACGTGAAGTCATGTGACCGTGCTGTAGTTCCTTTATAGCCCGAACATTAGCCTCCTTTAGCTTAGCGGTGGGTGACGTGAAGTCATGTGACCGTGCTGTAGTTCCTTTATAGCCCAACTTAGCCACTTTAGCTTAGCTGGTGGTGACGTGAAGTCATGTGACCGTGCTGTAGTTCCTTTATAGCCCAACACTTAGCCACCTTTAGCTTAGCGGTGGTGACGTGAAGTCATGTGACCGTGCTGTAGTTCCTTTTATAGCCCAACAGTAGCCTCCTTTAGCTTAGCGGTGGCGAAGTCATGTGACCGTGCTGTAGTTTCTTTATAGCCCAACATTAGCCTCCTTTAGCTTAGCGGTGGCGAAGTCATGTGACCGTGCTGTAGTTCCTTTATAGCCCAACATTAGCCTCCTTTAGCTTAGCGGTGGTGACGTGAAGTCATGTGACCGTGCTGTAGTTCCTTATAGCCCAACATTAGCCTCCTTTAGCTTAGCGGTGGTGACGTGAAGTCATGTGACCATGCTGTAGTCCTTTATAGCCCAACATTAGCCTCCTTTAGCTTAGCGGTGGTGACGTGAAAGTCATGTGACTGTGCTTGTAGTTCCTTTATAGCCCAACATTAGCCGCCTTTAGCTTAGCGGTGGTGACGTGAAGTCATGTGACCGTGCTGTAGTTCCTTTATAGCCCAACATTAGCCTCCTTTAGCTTAGCGGTGGCGAAGTCATGTGACCGTGCTGTAGTTCCTTTATAGCCCAACATTAGCCCTCCTTTAGCTTAGCGGTGGTGACGTGAAGTCATGTGACCGTGCTGTAGTTCCTTTATAGCCCAACATTAGCCTCCTTTAGCTTAGCGGTGGCGAAGTCATGTGACCGTGCTGTAGTTCCTTTATAGCCCAACATTAGCCACCTTTAGCTTAGCGGTGGCGAAGTCATGTGACCGTGCTGTAGTTCCTTTATAGCCCGACATTAGCCACCTTTAGCTTAGCGGTGGCGAAGTCATGTGACCGTGCTGTAGTTCCTTTATAGGAATATACATTATTTTATAATTTCTCATAATTCTGCAGGAGTTGAAGACTGACCCTCCGTCTGACCCCGCCCCCGTCAGCAACAACCAATCAGAGCCGAGCATCGGAGAAACCGAGGACCGACAAGAAGATCAAGAACTTAAAAAGGTGAAGAGATTAAGTTTATAACTATCAACATCGAGCTGGTTGCTGTGTTCTGAGCTGTGATTGGTGCCTGAGCTGTGATTGGTTGCTGTGTTCTGAGCTGTGATTGGTGCCTGAGCTGTGATTGGCCGCTGTGTTCTGAGCTGTGATTTGTTGCTGTGTTCTGAGCTGTGATTGGTTGCTGTGTTCTGAGCTGTGATTGGCCGCTGTGTTCTGAGCTGTGATTGGTTGCTGTGTTCTGAGCTGTGATTGGTGCCTGAGCTGTGATTGGTTGCTGTGTTCTGAGCTATGATTGGTGGCTGTGTTCTGAGCTGTGATTGGCCGCTGAGCTGTGATTGGTTGCTGTGTTCTGAGCTGTGATTGGCCGCTGTGTTCTGAGCTGTGATTGGTCGTTACAGAAGCTGAAAGCGACTCGAGGAGCTGAAGGAGCAGCAAACGTCTGGGAAAGTTCTCCAGAAGAACCAGGTGAGCCTCACTCTTATAAATACATTTAAAACATGTTATTAATGTTATATATATGAATGTTCCCATGATACCGTAAGATGTATGAACCAGACATCATCCAATAAACTAAAGTAGTAACTGTGTATGACTTTACAGATGTTTTATAACATATGAATCTGATGGTGTGTTTGTTTCGTTCAGCTGGAGAAGCTTCAGAAGGAGGATCAGCTGCTGCAGGAGCTGAAGGAGCTGCAGATCAGCCTGTAGACAAACACACACACACACACACACACACACTCACACACCAAAGAGAAAGAGTGTGTGTAAGAGACATTTTTGGGAGGACGGGTGAGGGGGTGGCTTTTGTTCACAGGTGTGTGTCCCTCACCACACACACACACACACACACACACACACACAGACACACACACCGTTTCCTGCTTCCTGTTTTCATCCAGCTGTTTATCGCTGAGGACTGGACTCATTCTTCTTCTGTGTTTGGAGGCTGCTGCAAGGGCATTCTGGGAAATGTAGTTGTGTGTGTTAATGAAATAAAAGATGAAATCACTGCAGAGAAAGAAAAAAAAACTCTCAGACCGAAAACTGATTATTTCCCAACATGTTGAAAAGTTCCTTTAACATGCAAAGTGTGTGTGAGTGTGTGTGTGTGTGTGAGTGTGTGTGTGTGTGTGTGTGTGAGAGAGAGAGAGAGAGAGAGAGAGAGAGAGAAGCCCTGTTGCTATGCAACTTCTGTACAGATGCTGAAGCCGTTGTTCCTTTCAGAATAAAAGCCTGAATCCAGTTGTTCCTGTGTTGACCTGTTCTCACTGTGGGTTCACCTTTAGACATAAAGTCAGGGTTCGAGTTATGTGGGAGCCAATGGGAGCTGAGCTGAGATAAGGCGGGGTCTGAGCTCCCATAAGGCGGGGTCTGAGCTCCCACGGACGCAGTGAAATCATACATCTGTGGGGGTCGCTAATACATTACCAACAACCATTATTTTGATCACAAATAATGCATGTGTCAATGTCATGAGTATTATTTAAGTTAACGAGGTAAATAGGCTAAAAGAAAAACATGTTTTCCAGAAGAACTGCGCATCTCTTGAACGACAATATGCCTGCACTGCACCTCCAAGGTGTGTGTGTGTGTGTGTGTGTGTGTGTGTGTTGTGTGTGTGTGTGTGTGTGTGGTGTGTGTGTGTGTGTGTGTGTGTGTGTGTGTGTGTGTGCTGTGTGGTGTGTGTGTGGTGTGTTGTGTGTGGTGTTGTGTGTGTGTGTGTGTGTGTTTTTTTAAAGACCCCCATAGAGCTCAGTTTATAACTCGAACCCTGCATAAAGTGACGTCTTAATGAATAAATTTTACACTTAAAGGTAGGGTAGGTAAGTTTGAGAAACCAGCTCGAGATCGCTAGAATTTGAAAATACACAACCGGAGAAAATCTGCCACTTCCTCACAGAGCCCCTCCTCCAACACACACGAACGCGCACATGACCAATGAGGGCACCAGATAAGTTTGTGCACAGATGGAAGGCTGACAGGCAGGTAGGCCATCCAGTTATTTTAGCCGGGCCGGCTCAGATGATTGGTCGTGCTTTTTACAGTACTACAGCTTCCACAGATTATATTTATTTATGGATTTGTTGTCAAAGCACTTCAGATATTCATTGCTATCAGGATGTTAAGAGCATTCCATGGAATATAACAAGTGTATCTCCAGCCGGTTTCTCAAACTTACCTACCCCACCTTTAAAGATCAGTTTATCTTCAAACTACAGCTCCATCATTTTAGTATTCATCTTAAAAAACAGCACTTTAGTTACAAATCATAATGTTTATAGATCAATTAGAGATGATCAGCTGTTGATTGAGATGCAGTAAAATGTAAAAAATATAGATTTTACATTTGTGAATTACTTTTGAATGAATCACACTTTTAAAACTGCCGGTGAGCAGATCTAACTCCGCCCCTCTGAGAGGAGCCGGTGAGCAGATCTAACTCCGCCCCTCTGAGAGGAGCCGGTGAGCAGATCTAACTCCGCCCCTCAGAGGAGCCGGTGGACAGATCTAACCCCGCCCCGCTGAGAGGAGCCGGTGAGCAGATCTAACCCCGCCCCGCTGAGAGGAGCCGGTGAGCAGATCTAACCCCGCCCCGCTGAGAGGAGCCGGTGAGCAGATCTAACCCCGCCCCGCTGAGAGGAGCCGGTGAGCAGATCTACAGTCTGAAGCCTCGCGCTTTCTTTAACTCTCAGCTCATGTTGTTTGTTTATCACATTGTTTTACTGTTTGTTCAAACCGTTAGAGAACTACAACCGGGATTCATAACGCGGAGCAGCGCGTGAGAGGGAACACGTGCTCCCTGCAGGTAAGCTAACAGCTAACAGCTAATAAACAACTGTAGATTCAGAAAGTACCCGGATTAGTGATGTGTCGGTCGCGAACGAGCCGATTCTTTTGAACTAGAGATGGCAAATCCGGATCCTTTTACGGACTCAGGGTCTGAGTCAGTCATTGAAGAGATCCGGATCATACGAGTCATTTGAGTCATACGAGTCAGCATCACCAAGACGTAGAAATCCTATCGGTGAAACCGAAAAGTTGTTGCATTTCACGAGCATATTATTCCATATATTTTGAATATATATATATATATATATAATATCTGCATGTATATTTTCTATTTCGACATGTATATTTTATATTTTATTTTATTTTTCTTTCTATTCTTGTATATTTTGTAGTTTTGTTTTATTGTAAATGCCTTTTATGCTGCTGTAACAACAATTTCCCAATTTGGGATCAAATAAAGTACTATCTATCTATCTATCTATCTATTAACTGACGTTATATTAACCTCCGCTACACAGTGTATTTTGCTTTAATAAAAAATGTTGATCACAAAAAAAAGGGTTATTTTGCGATTTGGCGAATCTGAGTCTGCTGTTGACTCGTGCACGAGGACGAGTCTGCTGGATCTCTGGATCTGCTGCTATATGGTTACGGCTCCGAGTCCGCACGAGTCTGATCCGCTGTGTGTTGCAGCGAGTCAGGATTTGCGAATCTGCGAATCTGCTGTTGACTCGTGCATAATATAGCGCGGGAGCCGGGTGCTGGAGGAGGGGCTATGCTCGTGCACATGGCGGAGTATGGATCTCTGGATCTGCTATGCTATTACGGTTAGGAGCCGTCGGCTCCTCTGAGTCCCCACGAGTCTGCAGGAAGTTTCACTGATCCGCGTCCCCTGAGCCAAACGATCACTTCTGGCAGCTATCCTACTTGCCTAAAGGGTAGGTAGATGGACTGGGGTACGTTGTAATTGTGATTTTACATGTTATAAAGAGAGTAGCGAGTGACGCAATTTATAGTTTTAATGTGTACGTCACACCAAGTGTGGGACTCAAGGACTCGGGTTAATGGAGAGGGGAGACTCGTCACGACCAGCTCATTTCTAGGATCCGGGTTAATGATCCGGATGAATCAGGACTCACCCATCTCTATTTTGAACGGCTCTTTGGTACGAACGAGGGGAACCGAGTCGTACTTGGTGAGAAGCCGTTCTTGTTATCGTTCAATCGTTGGTCCGCACTCACTGCCTGCCAACATGCACTCGCCTTTTAAAAAAGCTTGATTTTGTTCCCCAAACGTATTCTGTGAAGACCCGCCCCTACTCTGATTGGTAGGTTTCAGCACGAGGAGTGAGATGGGGGGGGGTCTTAAGGGAATACGCGAGAGAGAAGTCATACCAAGTGGTACAGGACAGGTAGACCACGTGTTTTTCGAATGGAAAATGAGCCAAACGTGAAAGCGCAGCAGCATTTGGATTCACTTCAACCAAAACCCAGGCAGTGATAAAGCGCACCATTTGTAAAGGCAAAATATCCTTTAAAGCAGGGTCAACAAATAATCTCCATCGCCACTTAAAAACACAGTAGGCCTATCTAATATTAAGAGTTGCGTGAATTTCATTCAAGGCAAGGCAACTTTATTTACTTAACACATACAGAGGGTAAATTCAAAGTAGTATATTCACTGACATGAATGACATGGATATGGCGCCACCTTGTGTCATGTTTACAATGCAGATTATTTACATTAGGTCTGGCAATGCAGTCAATCATTATCCTGGTGATTATTTCGCAGATAAACCTAGTAACCCCGCCCCCTTTAAAAACAACGGCTCTTTTGAACGGCTCTTTGAAAGGAACGGAGCCATAAGATCCGGCTCCCTTTCAAAGAGCCATCATTCCCATCACTAACCCGGATCAGCCTACTGAGCATGCGCAGTGGGTTCCGCTCTGTCAGTCAGAGTAATTTATATTTGCGACGTCACGCCCATCTACTTCCGCTCCATGGGACCTTATTTCGGAAAAATTATGCATTGAAGTCAATGGAGAGAGAAAGGTTATCTTTCGATTCCCGTTTGAATTGTGCCATGAATTACACATATGATGTTTGTCAATCTTTAAAAAATCATTTCCATGTCAAAAAGTCACCAGTTTGTCGTAAAACTGTTGAAATATAAGACTATGAAAAATACGCAACTAGAAAGACTACAAATCCCAGAGTCGCGTAAGGTGATGTCACAATTGTTTTCTCCACTAAGAGATAGCTAAGATCAGCGCCATATAGATATAATCTATCTATGGCGCTGGCTAAGATAAGATCACTTTAACAAGATGCCTGTGTGCTTAGTACCAGGTTGTTATCATACCAGCAATGGGTCTTGCTCGTTCTTTTGCTTCCCGTCTGATGAAAGGACCAGGAGTGGCTTGGATCAAGTTAGCTACCTAGCTAGTAGCTAGCACGTTAGTTAGCATTACAGCCTTGTCATTTTTATTAGCCTTAACATGAAGTAACATTAAGTAACCCAAAATGTTAAACAGTAAGAGTAGTAGTCATATTTCGTGAACCCTTTGAAGAGTACTGTCAACACCGGTGGTGATCATTCTATAATACACCATTTAAGCCCGGGGGAGAAATGCTAACAGCTAACGCTAGCGATCTTCTCTACTTCATGCTATCTGCACAAATGGTTGACATTAAACATTAAAACGACCAGGCAGTTCAGAGAGAATCAAAGGAAGGCAGGCCGGCAGCTTTGCATGACTTTCTTCAGGACGTGTTTCATTGTGTTGATAGTGAGGGTAGTCAATCGTTTGTTGACAGTAGTGACGGCCATCTTGGTGACGTGTGTTGTTGACCAGAGATGTAGTTCATTGAGCGTTTCACACAAACAAATGTGTTACTTCACAGTTTTACCACACTTTTTTTTTTTTTTTTACTTGCAAAATTATCTTTTAAATTAACAAACATCATATGTGTAATTCGTGGCTCAATTCAAACGGGGGTCCTTTCTATATTCATGTTGCTCTGCAGGTGAGCTCCTCCGCTGTACAACCTCCATCACTCTGGGGTCTCAACCTCTCCAGGACCAGGACTCCATGACGGACCATAAAGCCTTCGTACCTGCACAGACTGAGGGGGATGGAGCAGGACCCCCTTCAGGTGCTGGGGGTCAGTGACTCTGCCCCCCCTCAGGTGGTGGGGGTCAGCAGGTGTGACTCCGCCCCCCTGCTGTGGAGAGATCAGGACCTGAGGGCAGTGAGGGTGCGGGGCCTGGTAGGGGCGCTGTTAGGAGCCCTGCCTCGGACCCCCCGACAGAACGGGAGGCTGGGGAGACCCCTGCTGCTGCTGCCCAGAGGGAGGAGCGCATGCTAACAGAGCTACATGCTAACAGCCAATGCTAACCAGGTGAGTGTACCTGCTGCTAACCAGTGAGTGTACCTGCTGCTAACCAGGTGAGTGTACCTGCTGTTAACCAGGTGAGTTTACCTGCTGTTAACCAGGTGAGTGTACCTGCTGTTAACCAGGTGAGTGTACCTGCTGTTAACCAGGTGAGTGTACCTGCTGTTAACCAGGAGAGTTTAACCAGGTGAGTGTACCTGCTGTTAACCAGGTGAGTGTACCTGCTGTTAACCAGGAGAGTTTAACCAGGTGAGTGTACCTGCTGTTAACCAGGTGAGTGTACCTGCTGTTAACCAGGTGAGTGTACCTGCTGTTAACCAGGTGAGTGTACCTGCTGTTAACCAGGTGAGTGTTGTGTTGTGTGCAGGGTGGAGGGGGGGTGCAGCTCAGTCTGCAGGTGAAGCAGCACCTGGAGGAGCAGGAGAGGAGCTTGGAGGAGCAGAGAGTCCTCGCTCTGCAGGACAGGAAGTCAGCGCTGCTGCACGCCATGACATCATCACACACAGGTGAGAGCAGTGACATCATCACACACAGGTGAGAGCAGTGACATCATCACACACAGGTGAGAGCAGTGACATCATCATACACAGGTGAGAGCAGTGACATCATCACACACAATCCGTGATGCGCCGGTGAAGATGGTTGCATCGTCTTTTGGCTCCTCTCCAAACTTTGCCCCTTTTCGTACTTTTGTACATATTTATTTTGCTTCTAACATGGTTCTCAACATGCAAGCCGACCGCACCGACTCTGCTACACAATATAGCAGAGAGGAACTTCTTCTATTGAGAAACTTCGTGGGACAATGGAGATTCGCCATGGCTACCTGTTGCTGTTCTACCTGAGAGACCTGAGAGAGACCTGAGAGAGACCTGAGAGAGACCTGAGAGAGACCTGAGAGAGACCTGAGAGAGACCTGAGAGAGACCTGAGAGACCTGAGAGACTTGAGAGACTTGAGAGACTTGAGAGACCTGAGAGACCTGAGAGACCTGAGAGACCTGAGAGACTTGAGAGACTTGAGAGACCTGAGAGAGACCTGAGAGACCTGAGAGACCTGAGAGACCTGAGAGACCTGAGAGACTTGAGAGACTTGAGAGACTTGAGAGACCTGAGAGACCTGAGAGAGACCTGAGAGAGACCTGAGAGAGACCTGAGAGAGACCTGAGAGACCTGACCTGAGAGACCTGAGAGAGACCTGAGAGACCTGAGAGACCTGAGAGACCTGAGAGACCTGAGAGACCTGACCTGAGAAGACCTGAGAGAGACTCTGAGAGAGACCTGAGAGAGACCTGAGAGTACCTGAGAGACCTGAGAGACCTGACCTGAGAGACCTGAGAGACCTGACCTGAGAGACCTGAGAGAGACCTGAGAGACGTGAGAGACCTGAGAGAGACCTGAGAGAGACCTGAGAGAGACCTGAGAGAGACCTGAGAGAGACCTGAGAGAGACCTGAGAGAGACCTGAGAGAGACCTGAGAGACTTGAGAGACCTGAGAGAGACCTGAGAGAGACCTGAGAGAGACCTGAGAGACCTGAGAGAGACCTGAGAGAGACCTGAGAGACCTGAGAGACCTGAGAGAGACCTGAGAGACCTGAGAGAGACCTGAGAGACCTGAGAGAGACCTGAGAGACCTGAGAGACCTGAGAGACCTGAGAGAGACCTGAGAGAGACCTGAGAGAGACCTGAGAGAGACCTGAGAGACCTGAGAGAGACCTGAGGAGACCTGAGAGAGACCTGAGAGAGACCTGAGGACCTGAGACCTGAGAGAGACCTGAGGACCTAGAGACCTGAGAGAGACCTGAGAGACCTGAGAGACCTGAGAGACCTGAGAGACCTGAGAGAGACCTGAGAGGACCTGAGAGGACCTGAGAGAGACCTGAGAGAGACCTGAGAGAGACCTGAGAGAGACCTGAGAGAGACCTGAGAGAGACCTGAGAGAGACCTGAGAGAGACCTGAGAGAGACCTGAGAGAGACCTGAGAGAGACCTGAGAGAGACCTGAGAGACCTGAGAGAGACCTGAGAGACTTGAGAGAGACCTGAGAGAGACCTGAGAGAGACCTGAGAGACCTGAGAGAGACCTGAGAGACCTGAGAGACTTGAGAGACCTGAGAGACCTGAGAGACCTGAGAGACCTGAGAGACCTGAGAGAGACCTGAGAGCCTTGAGAGAGACCTGAGAGAGACCTGAGAGAGACCTGAGAGAACCTGAGAGACTTGAGAGACCTGAAGAGACCTGAGAGACCTGAGAGACCTGAGAGATCCCGGGCTGCTGGTCAGACTGAGGAAACGAGAGAATCGGCCCCCCTCTTCCGAGTATTCTTCTGGCTAATGTTTCAATCCATTGAAATAAGCTAGATGAACTCAGAAGCCGGATTGCTTTTCAACGGGACATTAAGAACTGTAACGTGTTAATTCTCACTGAGACTTGGCTCAACCCCGCTATCCCGGACTCCCGCTATTGTTCCTGATGGATTCTCTATTTTTCGTCAGGACCGGACTGCTAACTCGGGGGGAAAGTAAGGGAGGCGGTGTGTGTGTAATGACTAACAACAACTGGTGCTCAGATGTGAAGATTATTTCATCGGACTGTTCCGCACAGCTAGAGCACCTCATGATCTCATGTCGGGCCTTCCATCTGCCGAGGGAATTCACATCTGTTGTGATAACAGCAGTGTATATCCCGCCGCTCGCCGACAACAACAACACGGCACTCGATCAGCTGTTTGGGATTATTGATAAGACCGAGACTTCACGGCCAGATGCGGCGTTCGTTGTGGCCGGAGATTTCAACACCGCCAACATGAAGAAGGTCTTGCCAAAATATTACCAACACATCAACTTCCCGACGCGCGGGGGAAACATACTGGACCATGTTTATTCCCCTTTTCAACATGGATACAAGGTTCTCCCTCGCCCTCCCTTCAGACCACATCTCTCTGCTGCTGCTGCCTGCTTACAAGCAGAAACTCAAACGGGACAGACCGATAACAAGGACAGTACAGCGATGGAGCGTGGAGTCAGATGCAGCACTGCAGGACTGCTCTGCATCTACGGATTGGAGTGTGTTTGAGGACAACAACATCAACACACACACGGACACTGTCATCTGCTACATTGGGAAATGCATCGATGACGTGGTACCGAAGGTTTCTGTACGGACATTCCCAAAATCAAAAGGCCCTGGGTAAACGGTGAGTGCGCGGCAACTGAAAGCGCGCACTCTCGCCGCACACAGCGGGAGATCTGGAGGAGTACAGGAAGTCTAGGTATGATCTCCGGAGAGCAATCAGCAGCAAAGAGACAGTACAAAGAGAAGGTGGAATCTGACTTCAAAGGCTGTAACACTAGGAATATGTTGGGCGGGACTAAGGACAATGACTGACTACAAAGGAGCAGCGGGGGGTGCTGCGGAGTGTCTGCGTGCGCATCTCTCCCAGATGAGCTAACAGTTTTTTTTGCACGCTTTGAGAGCAGCCAGGCTGTGGAGGTACAGAGGGACCAGGAGCTACACTGCCCTTTAAATAGGGCAGATGTGTGTAAATCCTTTTAAAAGGGTTAACCCACACAAGGCTCCTGGACCTGATGGCATCCCTGGCCGTGTTTCTCAGGGTGTGTGCAGTTCAGCTGGCAGAGGTGTTCACAGACATCTTCAACAGGTCCCTGCTGCAGTCTGTAGTCCCCCACATGTTTCAAACACTCCACCATCATTCCTGTCCCCAAAAGGACAATCATCACCTGCCCCAACGACTACCGCCCAGTAGCACTCACCTCCATCATAATGAAGTGCTTTGAGCGGTTAGTCAAATTATTCATCACCTCCTCCCCCTCCCTGAATCTCTGGGACCCCCTGCCAGTTTGCCTACAGAGCAAACTGGTCCACAGACGACGCCATAGCCCTCACCCTCCACACTGCCCTCTCACACCTGGACCCGAAGAACAGGAACACATATGTAAGAATGCTGTTCATTGACTACAGTTCAGCATTCAATACCATTGTGCCCTCCAAGCTGGCCATCAAGCTCAGAGACCTCGGGCTCAACAGCGCCCTCTGTGACTGGATCCTGAACTTCCTGACGGGCAGACCCCAGGCAGTGCGGGTGGGAACATCACATCCTCCACCCTGATTCTCAACACCGGTGCCCCTCAAGGCTGCGTGCTCAGCCCTCTCCTCTACTCCCTGTTCACTCACGACCTGCGTGGCCACACACAGCTCCAACACCATCGTGAAGTTTGCTGACGACACGACCGTCATCGGCCAGATCACAGACGATGACGAGACGGCGTACAGAGAGGAGGTCGAAAACCTGACATCTTGGTGCCAGGAGAACAACCTCCATCTCAACATCAGCAAAACAAAGGAGCTGATTGTGGACTACAGGAAGGCAGCAGGGAGAGGGACACGCCCCCATCGCCATCAATGGGACTACGGTGGAGAGAGGCAGCAGCTTCAGGTTCCTCTGTGTCCACATCACTGAGGACCTGACATGGACTCATCACTGAGGACCTGACATGGACTCTTCACTGAGGACCTGATATGGACTCATCCCTGAGGACCCTGATATGGACTCATCACTGAGGACCTGATATGGACTCACTACTGAGGACCTGACATGGACTCTTCACTGAGGACCCTGACATGGACTCTTCACTGAGGACCTGACATGGACTCTTCACTGAGGACCTGACATGGACTCTTCACTGAGGGACCTGACATGGACTCTCACTGAGGAGCACCGTGCACAGGTGCACCATAGAGAGGATCCTGACCTTCTACAGGTGCACCATAGAGAGGATCCTGACCTTCTACAGGTGCTCCATAGAGAGGATCTGACTTCTACAGGTGCACCATAGAGAGCATCCTGACCTTCTACAGGGGGCACCATAGAGAGGATCCTGACCTTCTACAGGTGCAACCATAGAGAGTATCCTGACCTTCTACAGGTGCACCATAGAGAGCATCCTGACCTTCTACCGGTGCACCATAGAGAGCATCCTGACCTTCTACAGGTTGCACCATAGAGAGTATCTGACTGCAGCATGACGGCCCTGGTACGGCAGCTGCACCGACCTCGATCGTAAGCTTTACAGAGGGTGTGAAAACTGCACAGCACATCACCAGGACGGAGCTTGCCATCCATGGAGGACCTTACTCCCAGCGGCCTCAGGAAGAAATCCCTACAGATTATCAAAGACCCCATCACCCCAGCCACAAACTGTTTCTTCCCCGCGGGTGTAGTGAGACTGTTTAAACAATTGAACTGTTGAAAACAACTTCAAAACATTCATCTGCTACTCAGTAATATATATCTAATATCTAATATATATCCAGTCCATGAACTTTGTATATAGACTCGTACTGCACTATTCCACCTACTCACTTTATTTTAGAACTATTTTTCTTTTTGTATTACTTTTACTATCTGTATTATTATTATGTTGCATTGTTGGAGAAGCCTGTGACATAAGATTTTCAACGACATAATTACTCTGTAGCTATGTTAGTTTGACCAATAAAGAACCTTGAACCTTGAGGTGAGAGCAGTGACATCATCACATCCTGCTCTGGTTCTGCTCCAGGAGTGGAGTGCACGGCTGGGCGTAATAAAGTATTCTTAACTCTAACGTCGGGCTGAGGTACGTCTGACTTGGTGATTTAAATGTACACCGAGTGCACCAAGCCTGACTAGTCACTCCTCCCCCTCAGTTTCTTTGGGCCCCTAAGAGGCCCTGCGCGGCCCGCCTGGAGGCCCCTGCACCGCAGCTTACCTTCCCCCGGGGGGCGATGGGCTGGCAGTACAGCTGAGCACGGCAAGGGCGGGGCTTCATCACTGCCACGAGGGGACCGGGCCTTCTCAGGGCCCAGCAGCCAATCACAGCGCAGCACGACTTCCTCAGGGCCCAGCAGCAATCACAGCGCAGCACGACTCCAAGGCCCCGCGCCAGGTACCAGGTGTTCAGAGACCTGAGGGGGGGGCGGGCTTCTACCTGACGTCAGCGGGAAGTTCGGAGGAGACTTCCTGGTTTTACCCAGGTGAGAGGGGGCGGGACAAATACACACAAATACAAGAGTGTTTACAAGTGAAGACAAAAACAACATCAACAACAACAACACCACCAGAACCACCTGAGTTCTACACCATGTTCTTCATACCATGACCTCTTAACCAATTAAAACCCCTCACAGACCACCTGACTCCTTAAATATCAGAACCAAGCGGCCTGCCTCAGCGCTCCAACAGTAACACATGACAGCTCCAACAGTAACACATGACAGCTCCAACAGTAACCAGCTCCAACTAGTAACACATGACAGCTCCAACAGTAACACATGACAGCTCCAACCGTAACACGTGACCGCCTCCAACAGTAACACGTGACAGCTCCAACAGTAACCAGCTCCAACAGTAACACATGACCGCTCCAACAGTAACACGTGAACAGCTCCAACAGTAACACGTGACCGCTCCAACAGTAACCAGCTCCAACAGTAACACGTGACAGCTCCAACAGTAACACATGACAGCTCCAACAGTAACACATGACAGCTCCAACAGTAACCAGCTCCAACAGTAACACATGACAGCTCCAACAGTAACACATGACCGCTCCAACAGTAACACGTGACCGCTCCAACAGTAACACGTGACCGCTCCAACAGTAACACGTGACAGCTCCAACAGTAACACATGACCGCTTCCAACAAGTAACCACATGAAGCTCCAAACAGTAACACATGACAGCTCCAACAGTAACACGTGACAGCTCCAACAGTAAGCACGTGACCGCTCCAACAGTAACCAGCTCCAACTAGTAAACACGTGACCCGCTCCAACAGTAACACGTGACCAGCTCCAACCAGTACACCCGTGACAGCTCCAACAGTAACCAGCTCCAACAGTAAACACGTGACAGCTCCAACAGTAACACGTGCAGCTCTCCAACAGTAACACGTGACAGCTCCAACAGTAACACATGACCGCTCCAACAGTAACACGTGACAGCTCCAACAGTACACGTGACAGCTCCAACAGGAACCACAGTGACAGCTCCAACAGTAAACACGTGACAGCTCCAACAGTAACACGTGACCAGCTCCAACAGTAACCAGCTCCAAACAGTAACACGTGACCGCTCCAACAGTAACACGTGACCGCTCCAACAGTAACACGTGACAGCTCCAACAGTAACACGTGACAGCTCCAACAGTAACACGTGACAGCTCCAACAGTACACGTGACAGCTCCAACAGTAACACGTGACAGCTCCAACAGTAACACGTGACAGCTCCAACAGTAACACGTGACAGCTCCAACAGTAACCAGCTCCAACAGTAACACGTGACCGCTCCAACAGTAACACGTGACCGCTCCAACAGTAACACGTGACCGCTCCAACAGTAACACGTGACAGCTCCAACAGTAACACGTGACAGCTCCAACAGTAACACGTGACCGCTCCAACAGTAACACGTGACAGCTCCAACAGTAACACGTGACAGCTCCAACAGTAACACGTGACCGCTCCAACAGTAACACGTGACAGCTCCAACAGTAACACGTGACAGCTCCAACAGTAACACGTGACCGCTCCAACAGTAACACGTGACAGCTCCAACAGTAACACGTGACAGCTCCAACAGTAACACGTGACAGCTCCAACAGTAACACGTGACAGCTCCAACAGTAACACGTGACAGCTCCAACAGTAACACGTGACCGCTCCAACAGTAACACGTGACAGCTCCAACAGTAACACGTGACAGCTCCAACAGTAACACGTGACAGCTCCAACAGTAACACGTGACCGCTCCAACAGTAACACGTGACAGCTCCAACAGTAACACGTGACCGCTCCAACAGTAACACGTGACCGCTCCAACAGTAACACATGACAGCTCCAACAGTAACCAGCTCCAACAGTAACACATGACCGCTCCAACAGTAACACATGACCGCTCCAACAGTAACACATGACCGCTCCAACAGTAACACATGACAGCTCCAACAGTAACACATGACCGCTCCAACAGTAACACATGACAGCTCCAACAGTAACACATGACCGCTCCAACAGTAACCAGCTCCAACAGTAACACATGACAGCTCCAACAGTAACCAGCTCCAACAGTAACACGTGGACAGCATCCAACAGTAAACCAGCTCCAACAGTAACACGTGACAGCTCCAACAGTAACACGTGACAGCTCCAACATTAACACGTGACACTCCAATCAGTTAACACGTGACAGCTCCAACAGTAACACGTGACCGCTCCAACAGTAACACGTGACCGCTCCAACAGTAACACGTGACAGTAACACGTGACAGCTCCAACAGTAACACATGACAGCTCCAACAGTAACCCAGCTCCCAACAGTACACATGACATGCTCCAACATTAACACATGACAACTCCAACAGTAACACATGACAGCTCCAACAGTAACACGTGAACAGCTCCAACAGTAACACATGGACAGCTCCAACAGTAACACGTGACCCCGCTCCAACAGTAACACGTGACAGCTCCAACAGTAACACGTGACAAGCTCCAACAGTAACCAGCTCCAACAGTAACACGTTGAACCGCTCCAACAGTAACACGGACAGCTCCAACAGTAACACGTGACCAGCTCCAACAGTAACACGTGACAGCTCCAGACAGTAACCAGCTCCAACAGTAACACGTGACCGCTCCATCAGTAACACGTGACCGCTCCAACAGTAACACGTGACAGCTCCTAACAGTAACACAGTGACGGCTCCAAACAGTAACACGTGACGGCTCCAACAGTAACACGTGACGGCTCCAACAGTAACCAGCTCCAACAGTAACACATGACCGCTCCAACAGTAACACGTGACAGCTCCAACAGTAACACGTGACAGCTCCAACAGTAACCAGCTCCAACAGTAACACGTGACGGCTCCAACAGTAACACGTGACGGCTCCAACAGTAACACGTGACAGCTCCAACAGTAACACGTGACCGCTCCAACAGTAACACGTGACCGCTCCAACAGTAACACGTGACAGCTCCAACAGTAACACGTGACAGCTCCAACAGTAACACGTGACAGCTCCAACAGTAACACATGACAGCTCCAACAGTAACACATGACAGCTCCAACAGTAACACATGACAGCTCACATGACAGCTCCAACAGTAACACATGACAGCTCTAACAGTAACACATGACCGCTCCAACAGTAACACGTGACAGCTCCAACAGTAACACGTGACAGCTCCAACAGTAACACGTGACAGCTCCAACAGTAACACGTGACCGCTCCAACAGTAACACGTGACCGCTCCAACAGTAACACGTGACAGCTCCAACAGTAACACGTGACAGCTCCAACAGTAACACGTGACAGCTCCAACAGTAACACATGACAGCTCCAACAGTAACCAGCTCCAACAGTAACACGTGACAGCTCCAACAGTAACACGTGACAGCTCCAACAGTAACACGTGACAGCTCCAACAGTAACACGTGACCGCTCCAACAGTAACACGTGACAACTCCAACAGTAACACGTGACAGCTCCAACAGTAACACATGACAGCTCCAACAGTAACACATGACAGCTCCAACAGTAACACATGACAGCTCCAACAGTAACACATGACAGCTCCAACAGTAACCAGCTCCAACAGTAACACGTGACAGCTCCAACAGTAACACATGACAGCTCCAACAGTAACACATGACAGCTCCAACAGTAACCAGCTCCAACAGTAACACATGACAGCTCCAACAGTAACACATGACAGCTCCAACAGTAACCAGCTCCAACAGTAACACATGACAGCTCCAACAGTAACACATGACAGCTCCAACAGTAACACATGACAGCTCCAACAGTAACACATGACAGCTCCAACAGTAACACATGACCGCTCCAACAGTAACACATGACAACTCCAACAGTAACATATGACAGCTCCAACAGTAACACATGACCGCTCCAACAGTAACACATGACAACTCCAACAGTAACATATGACAGCTCCAACAGTAACACATGACAGCTCCAACAGTAACACATGACAGCTCCAACAGTAACATATGACAGCTCCAACAGTAACACGTGACAGCTCCAACAGTAACCAGCTCCAACAGTAACACGTGACAGCTCCAACAGTAACACATGACAGCTCCAACAGTAACACATGACCGCTCCAACAGTAACACATGACAGCTCCAACAGTAACCAGCTCCAACAGTAACACATGACAGCTCCAAGAGTAACCAGCTCCAACAGTAACCAGCTCCAACAGTAACACATGACAGCTCCAACAGTAACACATGACGGCTCCAACAGTAACACATGACAGCTTCAAGTTAACATGAATTCAACATCAAACACAAGTTCATTATTTACACTGTTTAATAACCATGTGTTTAATAACGCCAGGTTACGTATTGTAACCCTTGTTATATTAACACAGGCGGAGCCCTCTACTAGACTCTATGGGTACTACCCTCTATGCAAGCATTAACCTACTGAGATTTCTATAGACGTAGCCGGCCTTGGGGCGGGCCTACCTGAATGCGCGCGCATCTCACCTCCGTATAAAAGGAGGCTCGCCTCCTGACTATCATCCTATACCTCTCTTCAGCGAGCGGAATAGGACAGACAGTGCCTGAGTAGAGGGCTCCGCCTGTGTTAATATAACAAGGGTTACAATACGTAACCCGGCGTTGTATCTCTCACAGGCTCCGCCCTCTACTGGACTCTATGGGTACAGTGGGTGGAGCCCGGATGTATATATATATGTTTAACAACCAGGTGTTTAACAACCAGGTGTTTAATAACCAGGTGTTTAATAATCAGGTGTTTAATAACCAGGTGTTTAACAACCAGGTGTTTAACAACCAGGTGTTAAACAACCAGGTGTTAAACAACCAGGTGTTTAATAATCAGGTGTTTAATAATCAGGTGTTTAATAATCAGGTGTTTAACAACCAGGTGTTTAACAACCAGGTGTTAAACAACCAGGTGTTAAACAACCGGTGTTAATAA